CCAACCAACCAACCAACCAACCAACCAACCAACCAACCAACCAACCAACCAACCAACCAACCAACCAACCAACCAACCAACCATACTTATTTTACTTCCAAATTATCTATACATTGTCCGCTGCAAGATAAATTTGCATAAAATACGTCTTCCAACGTCTTAAACACTGAGCTAAGAATACACAACTGTTATTGGTAAGGCTTAGGTTTCAGAACTACACCACAGTCAGAGACAGCGTCGTCTGCAAACCGCAGTTGTTTAATATTTTAAGCTGTATTATATGCTTTGTATTCCAAATTAAAGACTTTAATCACCTAATACAGCTTCCAAAAAATATAGACTGAAACAAAATTCTTCTTACTTTTTTCCGAGTGAAGGTCCAAAAACACCTTTTCTTCTTTTGTCAAGTTTAGACATTATGATATCCTAAATGCAACACAACATGTCACGTAAATACACAACATGTTCATAACATTGGCAATAGCAAACCGGTTTCATTAAATTCATACGTTTATTGCCACTTAACGCGATAATAAGGACATTTCTGGTAAATGATTCTGGGAATGCAAATGGTTATATTGATCACCCAAGTATCAATGGTTTGACATGATAAATTATGTTATGTTGTTATTAAATATACAGTAGCACAAAAATTTGGATCTTACATTAAAGCTGACGTGGTAATACAATAAAATGGAGTGGGGGAGGTGACATTTCTGGGACGCCCTGAATGGTATTTTTAATTTTAACCGTTAAAGTGACATGATTTCATTTAATGTAAAAACAGGGCAGACACCATGACAGGGAATAGAAAATGCCACAAATTTCTTGCTTTTGGACAAAAAATGACAGAACACAGCAAATTTAGGGCAGCTCCCTCTCCCTTCAGGGTTTATGCCTCAATTTTACACTTTTTTACATGAAATGAAATATTGGTGCAGGCCATTTCTCAAAAACGCTCCTATAGGAGTATTAAATTCCAATAATTTTGAACAAGTTATTCAACCTACTATAAAAATCTGAATCTAATTGTATTAAAGCCAATTAACAAAGTAATAATACCACAAGACAGGGTGGGGGATTTTTTGTGGGACAAATTGCGTGATTTGTAGAGGTATACGCAAACTTTTCATCGCAAACACGTGTGATGGAAAAAAGCCTCTTAATAAATCCTGTCCAGTAACTGTTCGTTTGTTTTAAAAAAAAATATCGATATAAGCTTCCATGGAAGAATATATTGATGTATAAGAATTATACCGGGTGGCCCAAAAAAAAGTACTCCTGTTTGATTCGTAATAACATCTAAACAAGTATAGCTTTTAAAGAGAAATAACTTGCATCAAATAGAGGAAGGACTAACTTAGACTTTGATATATTACAGTCGTATTTCACTTAAAAATTCACGGAGATATTAATCTTTAAATTCGGGAGGATATTTCTGGATGTGTCTGAAATATGCAAAAATCGGCGTATCAAATATTAATCAAGATTTGCCCGACTGAAACATGCACTATTACCAGTAAATAAATGACACTTGACAAATTGTTTATTATGAAACAAAGTATTATTATATCTACAAAATACAAGGAAGATTCATTCGTCCGAAATTCGCGTGTGTTCCTAGCACGAATACGTTTCCTTATTTCATGAGACCACTGCATCGCGAAGGATCGTCATTGGATCGTTCGTAGTTCTGAATTAGGGCATGCTGTCACAACGGAATTGTGAAGCTCTTCTAGCTTCTGCAACGTTCTGAAATCTTGTTAAGAACACCCAAACTCTTTTGCCGTTTCTTAATCTTGGCAAGTTCATGGAGTAAACTGAGAATTATATGAAACACAATCAAACCATACAACTCCATAAGACATAACAATTAAGCAACTCCCCAGAGACATGCAACATTTTTGGAACAAAACGTAACAAAATAGTAGCGTTGATACGGTGATGTGTATTTGCAAAAAGCAATATTATTTCCTTCAATAAAGAATATTCATCCTGCTCTAACCGAGAAATAATCTACTCAGTCTGTTTGAACCCATTAAAAACATAAAAAAATTAGGCTATTTAAGAATACGAAAAATTTAAGCGCCTGCCTTCCATGGTCAGTCTTTCATGTACATTTAAGTTTGCAAAGACCTAATATTAAATACTTGCATAATTTCGAACGTTCATATTTCAGGAAACAATGAGCTAAGACTTACATGTAAGATGTCTAAATCTACGCCATATCCCTTACAAACCTTAACGATAATTCGCTGAAATACAAGTTAGCCTAATATGTCATTAAGCAAACAAACGCTGGAGTTAATATTTGATATGCAGATTTTCGCTAATTTTAGACACATTCCAAAATATGCTCCCCATTTTTAACATTAATATATCCGTGAATTTTTAAGTTAAATACAACTGTAATATATCAAAATCTAAGTTAGTACTTCCTCTATTTAATGCAAGTTATTTCTCTTTAAAAACTTTACTTGTTTAGAAGTTATTACGAATCAAACAGGAGTACTTTTTTTTGGGCCACCCGGTACAATATAATGTATAAGAAATACATTAATGTATAAGAATTGGGACAAACCTGTGTCTGACCAGCACTCGTTTGCGCAGAGAAGTTAAGGAATGCAGGAATAAATGCATTCTTATCCAGTTCATTCATGAGTTTATCTTTAATATACACACTTTTGCCCGTGCCTGTAGGTCCAACCAACATTACTGGCTTGTTGTGTCTGATTAGAATGTCTATGAGAAATTTATATCGGGCTGTGTCCATAGTAGGAACAATGATCTCGCTGATTTTTGTTCCTTTGCCACCAAGATTGCTCGACTTAATAGTTTTAGTCCAGTGAATCCAATTTCCACGACCTTTAGCCTAAACAGAATCAAAGACCTCGGATAAATGTCCACAATTCATATTATGTTTGACAACAGCTCGAATATAGTGTATCTGAATATGGTGGTGCAAGATTGCATGCTCAAGTAAACTCCGTTCCACTCACGATCGCTAAACTAGACAAAGAGTACGTGATTGTGTACTAGCATCGTACTATAATCGTGTCGTCAAACTGTGGAACATTGTATGTAAAGATGTATGTTTGGACACAGTGTCTATAGTCCTAGTTCTATAAGTGTTTAGTTAAACGTAGATACTCGAGTATTGTTGATTTTATTTATGATGTTGACCTGTCATGTACGTGGTCCTTGTTTCGTGACTGTTCGTGTCATAGGACGTAAATTGTGGTGTACTAGGTGTGTGTAAAGTTGTGCGTGTAAGTACTATTTAAAAAACGAGCAGGAGTGTTTCATTAGGTTTAAAGGGAGTGTTTCATTAGGTTTAGACCTAATAAAACACGACCTGCGAGTTTTTTAAATGGCTTCAAAAACGTACGCATAATAAGTCAAATCTTTATATAAAAATCTTTATATAAAAATCTTTGTATAGTTTGCATAACAATGGTCTTTTGTTAAAGTGTTCTTTAGCTGGTATAAAGATGTATGCACGTGACTAATTTCTTACTCAAGATTAGATAATTGGTTCATAAATTATTAATGAGTTTTTGAATGCTATATAAAATAGTTTTAGTAAAGTTTGGGAAGGTATCTTGCATGGTTCTTCGAGTCCCGTTTCTACCTTGCCCATTTAGGGTCTATATTCTATTTGTAGTTTGATTGAATATTTTATATGTTTTCTTTGTAAAATATGATTAGTTGGCCCTAATAAAGATGATAATAATAAAGCATGGAGTACAGTATGTTGAAAACAGGCCTTTGTAAATTATTTGTTGAAGGGATTTGCAGATGGTATTTTCGAGTGGAATTTTTATACATTTATTGGACGTAACCAGGAGGAGTTAAAAATGCAACTAACCACCCTCTGGCAGGAATAGAATAATCTGGCGTTTATATTTACCTCGAATAAAAAGTCATAAACCAGGCCATCAGTTGGAAAAGCGTTATCAACCTTTCCAATGGAAGTAGGAATAGGATGTTTCTCATCTTTGCCAGTCAACAATTCGCGTAAAAATGAATCGAACTTTGGACGACTGTCTGTATCGACGCTTGCACCAATTGACCACACCAGCGAGAAAAGGAAGGAATTCTGAAAATTACCAAAAAAGAAAGAAAGAAAACAATGATTTTGCTGCAGGCGGTTTTTGTTCGACAAAAACTATCCATTTTTCTCATGAACATATATTTTTTAAATAATTTTAAAAAATTATTAAAAGAAAGCCTTCCAAAAAGGTGTAAAAGTTAATGTGCTATACAAAATGATAAAAGATAGAATTTAAATTAAACAATGGTAGAGTTCCATTCTGAAAGTTCAACGTCAGTGGTACAAGGTGGTGGAGATTTCTGCAATGTACGACTGCCTCGTATGGAAAGGTTTTGCGCTCGAAGCAGGGGCGAACGCAATCTTTTTCAATTCTTCTTCTAAAACTTTCACCTTCGTTCATTATAAACATTTATTTTGTAAACTAAATTCAAGAATTCCGATTCTGAAGGTTAATATTTTATTTAATTAGCTATGTTTCGAGCAGTTTGACTGCTCGTCGTCAGGCCAACTACAACTTCTTTGCAATCTTTTTCCTCAGCCAGTTTCTAACTAAGAAGTGTGCCAATGTTGCTATCTACTCGCTCAAAGAAAGGAAATTATGGTTTTCCCACCCGAATCTCATGAACATATTGTTTAGAACGTCAAGAAACGTGCTTTTCTCAGTAAATCCTTATTCAACTACTGTTCTTATTTATACTCCAAGCACGAGACGAGGATTTATCGCTTCAACTTTTATATTTACATCAACTATTACAGATACATGATACGGTTAAATAAATACAACTTCCTTGTAATACTTACAACCAGCCAGAGTTTTAAATGTTTACTATCTATTTCCTTCTCCGTAGCAAGTTTCATCATGATTTCCACAAGGTTCATCAGTGAGTGAGTGAGATTACTGTCTGATGTTGGAAGATATTCCTACAACAATTAAAAAGGTACAGTAATCTTTTGACACAGTGCATGTGTGGAAGAAATCTCAAGAAACTCCTCACTTGGCAATTTAGTGCCCTGTTTGCTTATAGAAAACCTTCCTTGTTGGGAAGAAACGAAACATGCCTAAGGTCACTACAACCTTACATACTGTAGTTATACATTGTTAGGGGTTTTCAAACTTCATCTAGACTATTCTTCTTATCAGTCAATCACGTCTTGTACTCGAAGTATAACATTTCGAAAACTGTGAGTACTAATGGTAAGCTATTTGGCGACATTTCTATATATTTGGCTGACGTCAGCGATATTTTTAAGCTGCCGTTTTTCGCAAACTGGCGAAGACTTTTCTTGGGAACTTCAATCGGTAACTGAGCATCCACAGTACTTTGCATTGATACAGAGAAAATCCATTTCGCAGAGGCGTGCTACGAAATTGCATTTCCAGGCACTTTTCCCTCAAATATCGCAAATTTCAAATTCTTTTCAAATTCAGGTATTTACTTTTGTTTTCTCACAACTTCACGTGTTAGCTGCATCTAAATGTGTGAAGGACAAGTTTGCCCCAAACAAAGTCAAATTTGAAGATTATTACAACGTTTATTACAACGTTTCTATCCCGTACCTTGCACTGTTTTCTGACAAATGTCAGACAGGGAGGAACAATCCATTGAAAGAGTGCATCCACAAGCTTACTAAAATCTTTGCCGTACGATTCAGGTAGTGTATTGAGCCATGATTTCAATATTGGGTCCCAGCCCAACGCTGCTGGTTCGAGGTAAATCATACCACAACGGCTTACAGTCGCAGGCTAAAAAAGAAAGTGTTGGTTATAGAAACATATATTCTTGTCCTAAGAACATTCAGTTGACTACTGTTTGTCTACAAACAAAGAAGTTTATACAATAATTGTTACAAGTTAAGAGAAGCCGATTAACCACAACAAGTTTCCAAAGTTCACCGAACTTTTTCGATGGTACAAAAATACATTATTATACAGGATTTCTACTTCGACGGAAAATTATCGTGAAGAAATGACAGAATTATTGTTTAATCCAGACTTTCATAACTATTATACCGTAGCAAAAGCTACGTGAATATTCGCCATGATCGTTGTCTCTGAGATAAAACAAATTTTATGAAAATAAATTCAATATTAAAAGTTGTTCGCTTGCTGCTATGCTTGCCATTGCAGTTACTGTAGTTCAGAATTACTAAGCATTGATCCAGGGTGTTAGCTACAGTAAAAAGTCAGTGTTATACTGTATGTCGTTTTCCCAATTATACGTTTAGCTATAGCAATTTCCCAAATTAGGCCTGCGAAAAATAACATTATAATTAGGAAAAATAATTAAAATTACTAAGAACGAAAGAGAATCGTCCAGCTTCAAAGCTCCAAAGATTTCAATTTAACTCAACCAATCAGCGCCTTGCACTAGCCCGCGAGAATGCCACTTATTAAGCAACCAGAGTAAAAATGTCTCCAAATAGGAGACATTTTCTCCCAATAAGCGACTGAATTTTCGAACTTCATTAAATTGGCGATTTTTTCTTCTGGCTAACACCCTGTGATCGTCTGATATAAAACCCGACTTATCAAAATAATTTCTTCGCGCGCTTACCGATGCTTGGGATAAATCACGACACTCGAAAATGAGGCTCATCACATTTGATAACTGAATGATTTCACCACTCATCAAGCATAACTAAATCAAAGAAGATGCACGATGCAGTATTAGCAACAGTTTTCGAGATATACATGTAAATTAATAACAAAACTTAATATGATCCAGTATGATGCAGCATTAACAACAGTTTTCGAGAAATATCAAAAAAGGAATTTATGACTTAATATGATGCAGCTCAATAAGCCAACAATTTTTGAGAGGTGAGAATTAAAAAAGAAATTCACATAATCCACTATATACCTTTTTATTGTCATCTAGTACAGTGTTCATGCTTTCAATCCATAAGGTATCAATTGGTCCATCAAAGATAACCCACTTGCGAATGTCTGATTGATCTGATGCATACTCTCGGAACGTGTTCGCTACAACACCATCTGTCCACTGCAAGCAAATATAGATCATGGGTTTATCCGTTTCTACAGGCGGATACTAATCAAACTAGTATAATACAGTAAGTTCGTGACTCATTCATCTTGATTACACGATTATACTTTGATAACATTCTTCGAAACACCGTTGACTAATAAAATTAATTATTATATACATGTTTACTAATAAATTTAATTATTATATACCAAGTGTCAAAGTTCATGTTTTCTTGCATCTCAATGGACGAGAGCGTCTCCTGGCAACAGCTCTGAGCGGTGGACATTACTTTTATTCACCGGTGAATAATAACTTTTTTTTTTGCTTTCTTTGACGCTTGGTATATAATAAATATAGATTGTGACTTTCGGAAAAAATCTATTTTGTGGACATTTCGGGTCCACAAAACATACTGTTTCCCTCTGTCCTGGTCACTAAGTGTTAATTCTTTCAGTCTCCTATATTCAAAATGTTTTCAGTTCTTAATTGAAGAAACCCCAAGAAATTATTGAAGAAGCAATATTTACTGTCGAGATCTCGTTATTAATAAATGTTAACAAAAGTTGTAACACGTTAACAAGGGTATTAACCGTTTATTACCTCGTGTGAGACAGGATCAAATTGACCAAACAACTGTCCCATTGTTATGGACTTTGGATTGATAACTCGGGTCCACACCTGAAATAAACAATGCATAATCACGTCATACACCATCATAAATCTGTATTCAGCATAAATCGCGGGGAGATGAGGTCGATTTTGAAATGGGGTCGATTTTGTTTATTGCTCAACGGAATGAGGATTTATTTGCAGTTTCAACACTTTAATACAGAATTTTTATAATAGTGTTTTTCCAAGGTCAATCTTTGGGTATTTTGTCAAATTTCGCTTGCGAATGTGGAAATCTATGACATGATCAAGTACTAACGCACACACACATGCTGAAATTTGACCTAATCCTGGAAATGACTGAGCATTGATCAAGTCTTAGGACTGGTAAAATCCAATCTTGTAGAGTAAAGAAATCATTCATGTCATTTAATAATCTCGAATATTAAATCCTTGTTGTTGGCTTCAATAAGCCTTTCTCACAGCCGATTTTCCCGCCATTTTTGGGGTACTGGCTATCCCACGTTTGAGAGTCTCCGCACCACGAAATGCGACTTTTAAGTGTTATAGTTGTTTGTATAATGGTAAATTTACAGTTACAACTTTTAAAAGTCGCCTTTCACGTTGTTTGAATTGTCTAGAATCTTTCACGAGGGCAGATAGTACCCCAAAAATGGCAGATTTTAGCCTTCGTGAGAAAGACTAATTAAAGCCAGCACTTCTCGGACATGACAATTCATCTGGTAATCATTAAATTATTTTCTCATTTGCAATATTATATCCAACATTTAAATTAACTCTAATTATTCCCTTTAGTCATTACCTTGTTAATATTTTCATCCCCATGCCCTCGCTCTGTCATAAGAGACAACGTTTGGGCCAGGACATTTAAGACTTTGGTCTTTCCAGCAAAGGGATCTCCAACCAACATAAAACTACAGAAAGGTTAGAATAGCTCGATAAACTTACACATAAAGCAGTATGTGCTGGTCCTATTTCTTCTATGGTGTCCATCGATGATCGATGATGACTAGGTGAGGTGTTTTACTGTTTTGAGTCGGACTTTTCGACTCGGATGCACTACTCACAGGAATTTGGATTTCCTGAATTGTTTCTAATGAAGTGTCCTCGTGCTGGTTCATCAGCCCTTCCTTTTTCGATACTTCCCATGCAGGCCCCAACACCTTCCCTCCACGCCCATCGATTTTGAGCAGTTTCGTAAAATCGATTAGCGTGGAGGCAACCTATCGGGGCTGGCAGGGAAAGTATCGAAAAGGAAGAGTTGATGAACCAGCATATATAAAATAGTGTGTAACATTATAATGGCATAATATAGGTTTAATGTTTGATTTTGGTGTAGATGCATGTGAATCAAGTTAATAGCGAGCTTAAGCAAGCGACGTTTTTGTCAACACGGACGTCAGATTCCGAGGTTATCAGTTTGTTTGTGATAATCTTCAACACATATGACCAAACATACGATATTTAACGGTTTTTGCTTCCTTACACGAGCGCTAGGATGCAAAATGCCGCCAAAATTAGTTAAACCAATTTTCGGGTGACGCCCGTGTTGACAAAAACGTCGCTTGCCTAAGCTCACTAATATCTCAGAAAAACCTGAGTTCTGAGCCCTAATGCATGGGAATCAAACCACGTAGCTTTCTGATAACCGGACAGATGCTCTAACCAATTAGCTACAAGGTCTCAGATACTGATCCAAGGTTACGGCATTTACTAGTTCCGTGTGCTATGCATGTATACGGCAAACTGCAAGTCTCGACATGATTTCTTGTTTTTAAGGACTTGTTAGATATTCTACGATTTCCTAATAACTCGCCCTCATATATTAAAAAAAAATCTGTTTCTAAGTTTCAGGTCTTCACGCCAGATTTCCACGATCTTTAAAACGAAGAAAAGATAAACGGTATGCTTACCCGTGGCGAACCACCATCATTTCGTATGTCTGGATTAATTTCTCCGTGAAAAAGTTAACCGTTTGCAGATTCTCTTTTTCGCAAACCTAAAAAATGCGAAGTATTTCTTATATTGTTTTAGGGTTTGCTAGAGGCATACTTAATGTATATAACAGGAGTATACTGCATGAAAATACTACAAAAATAGTCATACAGTACGCTACATTGAAATGAGATGTATATACACGGAGCCATGCAAATATGATGGCATTGATGATATTTCCGGGTGTGAATACAATTTTCAAAGAGGGCGGTAATACCAAATCCGTCGAACTGACTATGTTGACGAAGTTTCTGCTTAATGTAAGACACGTAACTTGCCCATACAGATATCGAGTATACTGAAAATTATTGTCGGCAGTAATTTTCAGACTGTTTCTCTATAGCAAAACATTTTCATTTGCCAGACAACATAAAAAAAAAACGAGTTACCTCAGCAACAGTGTCAAGAAATAGGCCATAATCAGCTTTGGGGAGTTCAATTCCAGGAAATAGATCTGAAATAATTCCTTGAAACAACGGAATATCGTGTGACAAGAACTTGGGCAAATTGACATCAATAATAGAACGCAGTAACAAAACATTTTCATTTTCATTTGGAAACTTGAGCTTTAGGTTACCAGCTGCTGCTAACACTGCTTTCACGGCACGCATACCATAATCATAATGGAATTGAGAAGAGAGCTAAACAATAAAACAGAAATCCCTTTTATTCACATCTTGCTATACTGTATAATCTATTGACTTTTTGCTACTGTATATAATCCATTATTGACATCTTGTTATATAACTCATCATTGACATCTTGCTATATAATCCACTATTGACATCTTGTTATATAACTCATCATTGACATCTTGCTATAAGGTACTCTAACAACACATAGACGGCGAAAGATTGGTTTGGTAGGGAGAGGCGGGGGGGTGGGGGGGGATGGGGGGGCGAGGGCTAAACAGACTCTAGAACGTCCGGGGCATGCTCCCCAGGAAAATTTAAAAATATACTAATACTGTCTGAAACGGTATTTGATGCGTTCTGAGGGGCAATTTGACCCGCAGAAACCTTGATTTAACCTCCTACAACAGCTGTTTCAAGCAACGTAACAAGGGAATTATGAATATTTAATACATAATAAACCTTATCTTTGGACGGCCTGCCTCAGCCTCCTTTTTGGTCTACTTTTTCAAAGTTGGGGGGCTTTAATCCCCTAGCTCCCCAACCTGGTCATGCTATGTTAATAAACCTGCATGTGAATAGGTTAAAGACAATACATTTCTAAAGGTTTGAATAATTCAAATCATTAAGAATTTGCATAGCATGACCTATTGCTGCTATGGCTGTAGGTTTGAAACGCTTATCCTACTGTAATAATAGTTCATTACGTTTTACAGTCGTGCTTCAGTTCGAACCTACAAAGTACAAACCTACAAATTTAAACTACCTATCTATAGTTGATCCAATCTACGTTTAACCTACAAGTCCCACATGGTGTTTTCGCTATTTGCAACCTATTACTTGGATACTATGATACGTTGCGTGACTTGTACAAAGGCCCTTTTGTTTTTGGAATAAATTGTTGCTAATTTGTTGAGTTCGAATAATCATTTGTATCATTTGCAACCCCTTGTGATTCTTGTATTTGGCAACCATGCAGGAGTTACAAGGCATACTGTATTTAGGTCTGTGTGACCAATTTTGTTTTTAGTTTGTATTGTATCGCACTAACCTGTTCGGAACATAATTTGTAAGTGGTGACGATCTTCACAGATAGATTTCTGGCATCAACAAAACCATACGAATATAACATGATTTCACCAATAAGTGCGTAATCTGGTACCATCATGGCCACTGTACGAAACAGAACCTAAACAGGAATATTAACAATGTTTATTAGAAAGAAAAAATACAACGAAAAAATGGGACAATTCCAATTGAAGAATGTCGAAGTCTGTTGAACTCAGATTCCTCCTAACTATATGTTATTGCATTAGGGGAAATGTTGAGAGACTTTACCATATATTTTCCAGCATCGCACTAAACTGCCCTGTAGAATTTTGCTACACTACACTACGCTGTACTTTACTTTGGTATGATGTACTGTGCTATCATATCCTGTGCTGTACTGCACTGTTACTGCACTGCATGTGTTGTGCCGTGCTGTGATGAGGCTGTATTATAGCGCTGTACTTTAATGTACCTTCAAGTTGTCAGGTAGTTCAGACCTGCCAGCATATCCAGGATTCATAGTGATTGCGACGAAGCAATTCGAATTTAAATTTAAATCCGTTCCTTCAAATATGAAGCGATCTTGATGAGCGGCTATGGCACGTTGGATACAAAGAATCTAGGGAAAATATAAACACTGGTAAGACGCATTAGAAATATTCCTACTCCAAGTGTCACGTGAGAGACCAACCTGTTGAGCCACAACAGAAAGTACTTCAAGTTCAATTCTATTAAACTCATCAAAGCAAGCCCACGCTCCGCAAGAAGCCAAGCCTTTGAAAAACTAGAAACAAAAGCGAAACACTGTTAGATGAAGCGAAGAAAGTACGTACAGGAGCTAAACCCGTCTTCCACTTCGCCCGTATCGTACCGGTGAGCATGCGTAGCTTGAAGATGGGTTTTCAAATTTACGTACTTTCGGTTGATTCGCGTATCGAAATAAAAAGTTCGTCGCAAGTCAAATTTTTAACGCACTATGGAAGTATTAACCAATCAATATTCACTAAATTTTGAAATTTAAAATTTGTTTTGATACGTGTCGGTATGTTACGCTTGAAGTGGAAAACGGCCTTTATACATACAGGCGTATCGCGTATTCTGTACTCACGTACAGGAGGTACTGTACTTACGTACAGGAGGCACGCCAATAATGCGGCCTGGTATTTCTTTTTTCCAGCCAAGTACAACGTAGTTATGCGGTATTCTCGTACTTGCTTTTCCCGCTACCATATGACCTCCCCAAGCCCAAGGTATTACTTAAGTTAGTATATGTGTAAGTCTGGCATGTCTTGGTATGAAACATGATTGGACTGGTGGGACTAAGGCATGTTGGAGACAATTGTAGTTTCTGCATATCGTAGTTTCAGGTTACTGAATTAAGGTTACAGGACACCCTTTTTGGCGTTTTGCGGAAAATCGCTACTGCGCGCTCAATATCAGTCCGATTTTCATCAAATTTTCACCAAATGGTCGCCAGCGCATGCAAAATATGGTAAAGTTGTAAAATTAACAAACATTAAAATAATGTAAGAATTATTCAGGAAAATCTTAAATCGCGGTACCGTTACGCTTTTGAGTTGTGCTCCTGCTGGTTTTAAGTTATATTTATGAAAATATCATTTTTATACAGTAAAATAGTTGTTCTAAAAAATTGTGTTCGGAAATTTTTGTTTATTTCGTCATTCCGCTGATATGGCGATTTCTTTGACGACTGCAATATATTTCTGAATCGTTTGAGTGAATTGCTCTTTATTTTTAAAATATCTAAAATTAAAAAAAAAGCCGAACACAATTTTGAAGCTGACGTATTTAGCTATGTCCTGTGAAAATTTGAGAAAAATTGGTTAAAACCCGCAGGAGCACAACTCGTTTGAAAATCAGTAATTACCGTAAACTTTTTCGGGAGAAAATTGAATTTGAATATTACATTTTCAATGTTTTTCTTATTGCAGCGAAATGTATTTTATTAAATAACTCTGCGAGTTTTCAACATTTTTCGTTCAAACTTGGTCAGATAGTAGAACTAGTCTAATGCTTTCATGGAAACCAATAAAAAAAAATTTAGACAAAATTAACACTCAAAGGTGTTCTGTAACCTTAACACCTTTCAAAAATGTACTTTATGTACTTCATTTCAAATTAAAAAATACCTTAAATAAGTACACCTTGAGTCTTACGTTTGTACCGGCTCAGGTACGCGGCAAAAACCATTGGAATACCAGTCAAGTACGAACAAAAATCTTGAATTAACGCATCTTGGTATTATCGTGTAAGAATGTAGTGACCTTTCCCATTACCTTTCCCATTTGAAGATAATCTAAGCCATCTGAGCAATTGAAGACAACACATTGTATAGCTAGAGCTTTTGCAAGATCCTAAACGAATAACAAGAATTGGTATAAACAAGTGTGCAATTTGTATTCTACTAATATACGGTTTTAACATCGCGATCAGCCTCATCAATCTCCTTGAATTACACCCCTCGCCAGCGTAGTGAACGCCTCAGCAGGGGTTTTGTTCGTGCTCATGATGATCCCGGCCTATGGCTGGAATGCGTTGCTAATAACATGAACTTAGTTCTTCCAATACTTACCTTAGTAGTTTCAGTTTTTCCAGTCCCAGCAGGACCCTCAGGCGCTCCACCAAGGTTCAAATGAAATGCACCAACCAGTGTTCGATAGCAACGATCAGTAAGAGGTGTGATTACCAATCTGACAAAATACGGTAATTAACTTGTAACTGAGTTAGGTGTATGTAATTGCGAGGCGTGCTTGTCATCCTTACTTGAAGCTGAGAGCTAAGTAGAATTTCTAAGAACGCAGCTCAACCTCATTGAAGTCGAAGGGTTTTTAAGGGCGCCTCTGGCAGCCACCTTATGACTCATGTCTGATCAAAGAGCACAGCTACGCTACGGTGAAAGGGTCAGTTAGGTGCTAATACTAACCCACCCTGTCAACATTCCCTGTAAACCAGAATACCCGGTGAAAACCCACGACGTTCGGTAGAGCGTTGACTGACTATTTTTCTAAGTGCTATCAGCCAGCAGCGACAATCGAACCCACGATATCAGTGGTGAAGTCGCTTTCTCAGACGATTGCGTGCTGAAGCCTCGTCAATATACTGCATACTGTAAATTTCAGTAACAATTCCAAGCGAGCACTGCTCGCAGGAAATGTTAAACAGCTGCAGGGAATTCGTTTGAATGAAGATTTGCTATTGAAGATTTGAAGGAGACCTTTTAACACCCATGTCCCACTATGGGCGCAAGAACGTATGGTTGACAGACATTATTCCTTGAATTTAAAACCATTGTCAGCTAGAACGCTATATGTTTATGCACATGCCGATTTACAGTAGCACAAAAATACTCTGCTGGTCTGCAGGAAATTTTGTCTCCAGGTTGTTCTCCCAGGAAGAAAATTATTTTTTCCCTGCCCTGCCAAATCCATACACAAAGGAAGATGCATGGCATAACGGCGTTAGACTTATATAACCATCCAAACCCAACAAAAAACAAACAAACAAAACAAATTAATTAAACCATTCGAAAGCCCAAAACATTCTGAAGCAATAGTGGTGTTGGAACAACTTTTACAATCTTATTTCCACAAACCTCTAGCAAGAAATTAGTATTTCACCAAAATCTGGTATAGTACTGTATATAACAAAGGTATTTGACCAGGAAATTTGATAAATCTTTAATTAAACAGAATTATGCATGCAGGTGGTTTATTGACTTGGTTTGGTTAAAATTCAAGTAATAAATAAAAATACAATAAATACAAAAAGAAATTGCATCGATTTTAGTTAATATATCACAAGCTAAAACAATTACTTTGCCCACCAAATGTCCGTTAAGAAAATAATTCATTATACCTGCCAGAATTTCCAAGATATTCATAACCATAGTTAACAGTGGCATTAATAATCCTCACAAGGCAATCATCTTTCTCCCAGTAATAACGAAGCTGAGAGAGCCAATCAAAATCATTCTCTCGAGAAACGCCTATAAAACAACATTATGGTTTAGCATTCACGACCCAACGTTTCGACACACCAGTCTAGTGTCTTCATCAGGGATGATCTCAAGTCGCAACGTGACTTCTTTTATGCTCTTGGGATGACGTCATCTAAGAAGCCACGTCACCCCTGATGAAGACTAGACTGAAATATCGAAACGTTGGGTCGTGAATGCAATCCGACAGGGCTTTGCATTCATTTATTAAAACCAGAGTATTTCTGCGGCTGTTAGATGACGTCATCCCATGAGCATATAATAAGTTACGACTTCAGATCATTCCCGATGAAGACACTAGACTGGTGTGTCGAAACGTTGGGTCGTGAATGCAATTCGACTAAGCTTTGCATTCATTTTTTAAAACCAGAGTAGCGAGGGAAAACATGAACAATGAAACTCTACTGTACTTGCATGAGTTTACATGTGTTTTCAAGATATCTATCCTTAGCAAATACTGTACCTTCGACCTACAGTAGCAAGCTTAACTCAGCGGTATGGGGCACCCCACAATTAAGCGAAATAAATAATGATTAATCGTGCTTTTTCAAGAAACCATTTACCTTTCTCTACCATATCCTCGACTACGTCTCTGGCGTGAACATCAATGGTTACCAATGCTCCAAGAGTTGTTCTGTTTTGTTTCGAAAGTTTGCCTCGAACAAGACTGACAATATCATCAAGCTAAGAAAAAAAGCAAAATATATGTATATTTATGAAGTTGTAAAAAACACTTTGTTTCTCATCGTATAAACAGTATATGCTGCCTGAAGTGGCCAGTTCTAGCCCTTGAAACCCAGGTCGGCATTTGGTAGTACCAACCAAACTATAACTACCGATCTGCAATATCCTCTCGGCGTTATTTACACGTACCTTTTCAAATAGGCATTTTCAAGAACGACTTTTTACTACAATTTTCAGTAGAACGTGAATTTGGCATAGTTTTGTCGCAAGATTTAATACGACGTTTGCTGACAATAATACCAATAGGGTTTTATTCGCCATTGATTCCTGTTTGTACTTGAAACACAGTTTTTTCGAGAATATTTGGCGACTAGATTGAGGATTGTCATTTTCATGTCGCTTCGACATAAGTACATACAAGCATAACCACAAATATATAAAGGGGTGTGGCAATAGAAAATTCGTTTGTCTCATGTGTAAAGTTTAATTTATTTTGTTTTCATTCAAATCTTATCTTACTGGTGTGGACTACACGTAAAACACTAACCTGTTTTGTCAACTTCAGATGATACTCCTTCAAGCCATTTGGTCCACTTCGTATAGCTTCGTGAACTTCTGAAGTCCAATAAATTTGGCTAACACAAATGACAACCTAAAACCCAATATTTAAATACATGATGTCATTGTGGGGGGGGGGGTGCAGGGGGTGGTACCCCCCAATATTAGCTATAACCCCCTCAAACAAAATGTCCACCCCTCCAAAAAAAATTTCAACACCCCCCCCCCAATATTCGGCATAATAAAAAATAATTAAATAGTCCACTCCAACGTGCAGAGTGTTGATGGTACAAAATAAATGTAGGAGTACACTCAAATAGAAAAAGACAGTGCAACACTGTGAAACTAATCACTGGTTTATTGGAGCAATTGTAAAGTTTTGAAACTCTATTATCTCCCCTGAATAGAGTTTGTAGTGCCTTGTCATGCAAATAGCTTGCTTGCAAGGAACGCTTGGAATTTTTACGAACATTATTTTTAGTTTTTAATTCGTTTAGGAAATAGACTTGCCTAGATTTAATCTTTACGCCCCAAATATTATTTACATCAGAGTTGCACCATAAATTGTACTCGGATTCAAACGACACGTACAATGTTAATGACTTTATAAAAGTAAAAGCATATTGTGTATTGGCCTATTGGGTTTACACTTTTACAGGTTCATTTATCTTTAACTCTCTCAAGTCTCAACAGACAATCGGACATGCCAAATCCACTGATATGACAACTTCAAAAAACTGTTTTTCGAAGCTAGAAATCATGTTTTTTTCCCAATTTTTCCAGGGATATTTTGTTTTCTGCTCTCTAGACTCCCCTTCGTGGATCTAGTGCTCCACCCCTAGAATATAGACCTTACTGGGGTTTGGTGACACTTTGTGTTGCTTCAGTCACCTGCTCACGGCTCACCCCCCTAAAATTTCTGGCACCACCCCAGTAAAAAATATGAAAATCCGTCTATGCATTGTGCATTCACTGCAGGTACATATTAAACATAAGAAGAAAATCACATGAAGATCCTGGCTTAAAGTATATATAGCTCCCTACAACTTGTGGAAAAATTGAAAACTTATGCAGCATTAGATCCAACTTTTTGAACTTATTAGAAAAGCTGTACTTATTAGAAAACAACAATTGTACAACTCATATATAAAGTGTATATTTTCCATATTTCATAAAAAATGTAGAATTACTTAACCAATTCAAATACATGCATGCAGCAACCCCTCGCCTTTATTTTCCAAACATTATTTCAACATGAAGTATTCCAAATTACGTCAATACTGAACGCAGGCTCGTCTTGCTCGCGTCATGCGAGCCACGGCAAAACGATTATTGTTTGTTTTCGGTTTTTTAATTTTTTGTGCAAAGTTTAACACTTTTAACTAAAGAACTATCAATTTCTAAAATATATAAAGTAGTATATGTTATTTTGTATTTCATAGGCAAATTCAACACGTAAACGTTTTTAAAGGTTCATTGAAATTGAGATTATTAAAAAGAAGGTCATCAACTTTAGGGTTAGAGGTTAGGGTTGGAGTTAGGGTTGGGATTAGGGTTAGGATTATGGTTAGGATTAGCGTTTGGATTAGGGTTATTAACTTATTGTAATTGTAGACCCATTACAACCCAATACTTTATTGCATACAACGGCTTTACAACGCCAATAGATTATTGGTTACAACGTGTGGAACGGCTGGTGAACTTTAGACTTCGCCAATGCTTTCCTTTCCCCAGGTGTAAACAGCCGTGCGGTATTAGTACCTTCGCCCGGGCGTACGCGCTTTGCGCCTTTGGCTCGGGGACAAACGTCGTGTTTTCCACAAAGGAAAACAGTTAAGCAAAATCAGACAGTATAGTCTGATAAGATATCGATTTACACACTATAATTATGCAGGAACATGAATAGGGGAGATAACGTGACATGATGAAAGTGTATCCGATTATTATTATTACTGACTGTTCGGCCACAAAGAAAGCTGATAACAAATATAGTACCTGTCCCGGCCATTCTGTTACCCAATGTCTGCGTTCTTCAATTGCATAAGCCTAAAAACAGAAGTTTACAACATATGATAGAAAATAGAAAAAAGTTGCTTCTTCGAGTATATTGTAAGCCAGAGACTTAAGTTTACCTGCACGGATTTTTCAATAATATCTCTGATGCTAATAAGCATAACATCTTGAACCTAAAAAAAAGTTATAATTACGACAGTGAATAAATATATTTCTCGTGAACAATTAGCTAGAAGAAAAGAAAAAATACCTGGGTAAATAAAAGCAGACCAACCCTACCAACATTTTTGCAAGAAGAAATACGAAACCCAGATATTTAATTTTTTAGCCCTATATGAATAGAACAGAGGCACGGTTGACTATACCTGTAACAGCCATTTCTCTACAGCTCCTCGAGCTTCTGATGTTGAAATAGTTTCACTGAAAGGAACCTACCATGATACAAATATATGTATTCAACATTAATATTTCTATATGACATAGAATTAACATAAAACAGTCTCTGAGGATGATTCCGAAATGAAATGAAAGTAAATATGGTAATTGTTCCAATAAACTCTCCGCACGCGTTTATTTTAAAATTAATATCGAAATGAGGGTGTATATTGGAGAGGTTCGTTTATCATATTTATATATAACCTTTAAAATACAACGGTTCAAACAATAAAATAAATTATTAATTGTGTAGCAGTTATAAAGCGCAAATCTTATACAGTCGACAGACAACATGATATATAAGATTCTAGTTGATCATACCTTCTCTCCCTCACTGCTGAACATGTGTGTTATATCGAGGTTCTCTTTGAACTGCAGTTTCGCCATTCCTTCAAAACACTTCTTCAAATGTGGCTGCACACGATATGGATCCTTGGTCTCGGACAATATTTCAAGCATTTCATCATTGGATAGAAAGAAAAACCTGATAAAATAAAGACCATTTCTTCACTTCATGATACAAAATTTTACGCATGCATCAGGTACATCTTGACTCAACTGCAGGGCGAATTATTTGAAACAATTACAAAGCATCTCATCCATACTAACAAATTAATTGTGAAAATTTAATCAGTGCAATTATGAATGAAGAGTTTCCATGCGACTATACTATAATTTTTCTTTGGTTGGCAAATATTTCAAATGAGAAGTTAGCAAACGTCAGCAAAATCTAAATTAATTTGAATTATTAAGTTCTAGTCAAACGAGAATGAGAGTTGATGAGCGCTGTCTAGCGAGGGTTTACATGAGATGTTTCTGATGTCCAAGTCGAGAGAGGCTTTACACAAGAACAATGTAAATACAAAAATTGCAAATCACATTCACCTTGAAAAGAAGAGACGTTTCTTCTCCAAATAAGCATTAAGACCTTTGTTAATTTCATCGAGCAAACTATTGCTGTCTGCCAGTCGGTCAAACATTCCCGGCATCGACGTGGCTGCTAAAACCTAAAATTAGTAAAAGAAACGTTATATACACGAAGAGTTGGGGGGGGGGGGGTAAAATGCCATTATTAAGCCAATTGAGCACAAGCGCCTACCTCTGACAAGTAAAATCGTGTGGCATTAGGGTGCAAAGCAACTTATTGGTTTAGTTAAAAATTCACAAAAAAGCTATAAACATGGGAATAGTGATCATACCCTAGCTGCCGACGTTTATTGAATGTGACATTACAAAAAGACAAGTAGAAGAAAAAAAAGAAAACATTCACGGAATGAAACTTCAGAAATAACAAAATTGTTGAGTGGTGAATTTGAAATATGTTGGAATTCCTCATGCTGGTGTAGCTCCTTGGAATTCAGGAGTGGTACAGTACACTCCTCGACAGGGGCGGTAAACACACAGTGTCAAACAGAATAGCTCGTAACAGAAGTCCCAAAATTAAATCAGACAATTGGCATATGTAATGTGATCACTGGTGGCAAGGCAACAAACGTCATGCAGCCGTGTGTAGGTACACACGCCCATTGTGGAAACTAGCTTTAGCTGACAACGTTAGCGTGGTTAAATAAAGTTTATGATCATCATCATCATTGTACGCAATGTAGTTGCAAAGACGTTTGTTACAGATCGAGTCTTTCTCAACCACTACGAAGGATATATACTTTTTGGAAGGTGTGCTCAGGCCACCTTCGTTGCGAGTATCCAATAGATATAACTTACTTTTGGATCCCTCACAACAAATTTCATGATGTCTTTCCAATTTCGATCAACGGTTTGAAACTTGCGACCTTCTTCTGGCATTTGTTGCATGATATCTTCAGAACTAAAGATTGGTTCCAAATACAGCCACTGAGCTTGTACCTATGAACAAGTGATAACACAAGGAATGAAGAGTAATGTTCAAAAACGCACTAGCATTTGCTGGTGAAAAAATTGGAATTACTGTGAATTTTTACAACATGGTAATCTATTTTATGAAGTTTATCAGTTCAATAATATGGGCGCTTTCCATTTAATGGCCTAACCGGTCAGACCGGAATTCTTTTCTCTGTATCAATGGAAAGATCTGGTCTATGTTTTTCAAATATCTAGCGAAAATGGACCTCATTCTAATGTTATCTAAATTTTCAGGTCAGATAGGTCGGAAGCCCAAATTTTTTTGTTCCATTCAACAATTTGACCGTTCTGACCGGTCTGGCCGTGTTAATGGAAAGCGCCCTATGCAACGTGAGATTAAAGATGAAGCTGTTACAAAACAGAGGGCAAACTGCAGTTTTAATTCTAATGACCAAAATCCAGCCATTAGTACAAAGGTACAAAGATTAAGTACAAAAATAGGCATTCCACCTGGATCATATACAACGCTATGCTGCACTACTTATCTTAAAACGACTGGAAAGTGATATTGAAATCAGTGTGACCATCACAAATCTACTGGCGCTGGTTGTTCAAAGCTGGATTAGCGCTAAGCCTGGGTTAAAATTTAACCCGCTGTTTTAGTTTATGTATTTTTGTACGTCTGTTTATTTCAAAACTTTGGAGAAGAAAACTCCTACTGATCCAGACAAGATCTCCGAAGAAATATTTCCAAATTTATAAACAAGCTGTTAGGAAGTTTGCTTTGCATTCTAGATTAACCTAGGGTTAAGCTAATCGCCTTTCGAACAACTGGCCCCTGTGGTGTTGTTGATATGTTAGAAGAGGTTCCAACATTTTCTTGTTATATTCGTGGGAAAGGAGAAATGTTATCTAGACTGATATTGGGGACAGTGACCTCTCTTTCTTCTTAAACTTGCGAGCGAATACACCAAACTGTTACGAGAATACACTTACCTTGAGCCATTCATCAATAATTTCTTGCATTTTCAATAATCGCTCCTCCCAAGACTAAAACACAACCAACGACGGTTTAAGTCGAGAATAAATTTATAGTTGATCACATCAACTACAAAAGTTACATATGATTGCGAAACAAACATAACTATACACAGTACACAACAACGACTACAACAACATGCTCTCACAAGGCATCTTCACGACAACCACATGCAGAGTTTTAAGTGACGCCGAACGAGCAAGCTCACAGTAGTCATAAGCCACAGTAGTCATAAGCCGAACACAATTGAGAGAGAAAGCATCAGAAATGCACATGACTATCATTAATTTAATTATAACATGAGTTTTCAGTAAATCATTCTGCACTCATGCTGGTACTGTACTACAATTGTACGCGGTCTAAACGCCTTAACTGAAAAGTGAATGACTGGCATCAATCTGGATCTCTCACCTAACAGTAGCTGCATACAAATGATAAATCGTCATGCGAAAAAGCAGTTTGGCCGGTCAAAAAATTAGCGGCTTACAATTATTTTATAGAAAAATTTGTAGACCAACTTTTCAGTCACTATTGAACACTCGGAATCCCTTTTAGATAAATTCTTTGGCAGCGAAAGCAAAATAAAAACTAAAATATTGAATGTTAGAAAAAAAACATTTTGTATGTCAAAAATGAAATTTGTAGGTTAAAACTAGCATGGCCTACAATGTTTTAAATTCATCCTATAGGCCAGAAAAACTTCTTAATTTGCAGCCTGTAACATATTTGTACAATTGAAGGTTACCTTAATCTCTGCCTCAAACGGTTTAATAAAAGGCGATCCTCTCATGGTTTGTGTCTTTACAATTTGATCATCTAACGTAGTCTGTATCTCGTCAACGGCTGCCAGGATATGAACTCCTGTATCTCTGTATTGTGCTGTGTTGAATACAATCTCATCCCAATCATCGACCATCTTTTGCATGGCTTTCTCCAGTGAAAATTCCTACAATTTTCAATATATGTTTGCGATGTTACTCTGAGTGCATATCCACACCGGGCGAGCTTGAAAAATATGCCCGGCCACGGTGGGATTCGAACCTACGACCTTTCGAATACTAGCCCAATGCTCTTCCAACTGAGCTACGCGGTCAGGACGGTTCGAGTAAGTGATATTTCGGAACAGTATCTAGTTCCTTCAATACCAATGTGTTCTTGTAATATGAATTTTTTTCTGTATTTTCAATATATGTAAGCTATACTATTACACATCTAAGGAATAACCCAAAGAGAAGCCTACTTAGTACCACGCAAGACGAAAAATATGAAAAATGTAACAGTATTGTAATCATCATAACCATAAATATCCTAGTGCAGGTGTTACAATGCCTATACATGATTAACATAAACAGCCGAATTCATATTTTAACAAGAGCCCCTTGATGAGCTGAAAGCTCTTGGGCAATTGTAATATTTCTATTATTAAAATACGTTCGTTTATTAAAAAAAAGAATTCATATTAGAAGACGGATTTCCGTCTTTAGACAGGAAACGCGTGTGACGGGTTTCCATCTGGTATGAATATAAAACGAAAACTGTCGGAGGGATAAACCAGAAAAAATTGAAGACCCTCCATACCAATCTCTTTTCAACGTTACGAGCTGAAACCCGTCTTGATTTATACGTCTGATATAATTTGAAGACGAGTTTCCCGTCTAAGACGAGAAACTCGTCCAACTTTCCAGTCTTTCGGACGGGAATATTAGACGGAAAACCCGTCGTTAACCGAATTTATATCTGGACGAGTTTCTGGGCTTAGACGGAAGTCAATCTTCTAATATGAATTGAGCTATTACAACAATAGTAAATTTTCATAACAAAACTGTTTTTGAAAACTAAGAAAAGCAAAAATACCTCTAACCGTTAATGTACTGTAAACAAGGTTGGGTGGGAATATAAAGTTTATTAAAGAGAGCGTTCTTGGAAAACATCATCTTTTTGTTCGAGCTATGGTACATGGTTTCAATGGAATAAATCAGATTTGGTAGAATAAAAGTGTCAACACGTACGTGTACATGTAGAATCCACGCAAATATGAGGTTCACTATATACAATGTACTTCATCATCAAATTGTTGTATAATTGCAGCACAATATGTACGCAAATTTATCTTCATTTTGAAAAACAACAATTTAGTATGTGTTACCTTACTGGCAGCAACGCTAATGCCTTCAAATTCCGTCATACATGGGCCAAGGTTAAACTTCAAGAATTTCCTTAAGGTACTGCCAGAATCCGGAGTAATATCAAAACCAATGATATCAGACATTTGTTTCCAATGTCGTGGTCTTATGCCATGATTGCACAATGTTGAAATCACTGGAATATTCCCCTGTCAAGAAAAATCAGGTTATGATTACATACCGTACCGATATAATAGCTACCATTGTGGTTGATTAATCACATTATCACATACTCAACCACAAACTCACAAAAACATGATTATTGTAAATTATAACTCAAGTGTAATTTATTTTTATGCATCAATGCTTGCCTTCGCAATCGTCGTTTGGAAAATAATGGAAAAAACGTTGGAGCTTTAGTATTTTTAGCCTTCAGTGTTTTCTTGACGATATGGTCGCTTTATGCATGGTCGCTTTATTTGTACGTTTACACATTGGATTTGTCAGGTCCATTTTTAGACGATTATCAATAAAGCTTAATACGTCATCTGGATGACAATATTATCACAGAATAAAGACACACAGAAGGTCGACTAAGCCAAAAAAAGTGTAACCGCTGCCACGCCACTAGCCAGTGCGCTTATGAGAGGCATTCCCCCGGTAGCCCGCGTGCAGGCCCAAGGGAACTAATAGTGGGCCTGCAAGCAAGGTCCGGTATTTTGTACTTTCCGCGTTCGCCCACGAACGCGGCATTCTGATTGGCTGTTTGCTGTTGGATTCTATAATTAGGTCAGTGATTCATCACAAAGGCTCTCGATAAGCTTAAAATTCGAAAATTGATCACTTTTTTCGATTATAAATGGAACAAGAACAGACTTTTTATTGTTTACCGTTATGCCAATGGGGATTGCTTGTCGTGAGGTGTTGGAATAGCACTCATTACGACTGGGGTAAACTATAGTAATCTTTACTTGAGTTTCATTAATTTCAAACAGACTTGATACGCGTTATATGTTCCTCAAGAAAATTATCTTTTGGTTGATGTTGAGATGCAGTTGCATGTAAGCCTATTCGAAGACCCTTCGAAACACTTTGCAATTTAACAGAAGACGGTATTAAATTGCCGTTTGAAACGAAACGATCTGGACTCTGAACGCTCTCTTCTTTTGTAGAGTTCTTTACCAAATGAAATAACTGAAATAAATTTCGTACTTTCCGCCGCCAACAAGAATTGCACACATGATCTGATAAGTGAGACAATTTATTTATAACAATGGCGACAGCGAAGCACACATATTTATAAATGCTAATGTGGTCGCACGACTTCCCTCACGATTTGAAGTTTGAGACTGGTTTTCTGTTGAAATTCGTCCTAATTTGCTTGTTCCGATTTTAGTTGAAAATGAGCACTTGTAAATTTGGCAACTACTGACTGCGTTGCTTGCTTTTTTGGAGTTAAAACGCAGCCATTTACACATTGTTTATGTTCTCAATAAGCAGAGAAAACCCCGCAACATTTTAATGCGAGTTTGTTTGTTAATATTTGGGTGCTGTCATTGGTCCTTTTTTGACAATTGACGCGCGAATGGGGCGTGTTATGAAAAGGGGCATTTTACAAAATACCGGGCCTTGCTTGCAGGCCCACTATCAGTTCCCTTGGGCCTGCACGCGGGCTATTCCCCCGGAAGTCCGCCATTTTGAATATTATCAGGGGGGTGAATGCTTCTCATAAGCGTACTGGCTAGGACCATGGCGTTTGATGACGAATTACGATTACACCAAATCATAGGGTAATGAAGAAGTCAGGCTTCTGTATAGTCTCTATTCTGTGATAATATCGTGTGACAATATTCCTCATTAACTTGAAATCTAAGCTCCGCGAACCGCACTGTCCAAACGTACCCAAATGGAAATTACAATATTGTTATACCTTAAAATCTAGAATTTGATCTCGAATATTGCTGACAACTTTCACTGCAGATGATTCCTCTGTCTTTCCCTCTTCTTTAGAATCACGTATTCTGGATTTCTTATCTTTCTCTTCCTTCTTTTTACTCGTGAAAAGTTTTGATATCTTGTACATTTCACGACCATACTCTTCAGTCTAAATTCGAAAAACAAAAGTTTTACATAAATATTACATTACCATGTTTCAATTTCGAGGACTTATACAGTATTTAGCAAAAACGGTCTGGCCTCATTTTCGGGGACTTTCCCATTTTTAAGTACTCGCAAGTACTTATCTGTTGTACTGTGACAGTGTAAAAAAATTTAAAATACTTTTGTCCCAGGGCAAAAAGTATAGTGTACAGGCAAACTAACCATACATGAAGAATGAATCTTGAAGCATGGTTACTGTTGCATGAACCTGACCAATTACTGCCAACATATGAACACCTTTTGTAGCTGGAAATCTTAGTTCTTTAAACTTTTTTCCACAAGGGAAGCATGCATAATTAGCAAAATGTCTTTCAGAAAAATACCATTAGGAATAGACCTTTATAAAAAGGTTGACGTCAGCAGGCTTGTGTCGTAGTTTGGGGAGGAAATCCCGAAAGCTCAGAGTTGTTTACTTGTTTTGAGTTTTATAAAAGAAAAAAACCCAACAGTATTATGGTAGGTTTGAAGTAAATTTTTCTATATTCAACGGCATTTATTTTAGCTGGCTAGCCAAGCTGTAGCAAAGTGACGGATGCGCGATAATTGCAACTGTTCTAAATGACGTCAGGGGCTCCCCGCTGCTACATACATCTGCCGTTAACTTCGCTTAAATCTACGTTTAACCACATATAGGCCAAATGAGTTTTCATATTCCTCGTAGTTTAAATTTTATTTGTTTTTATATTAGAATGTACATTATTTTACTGTCAACATTTAGCAAATTGTTTGCTCGGTTTGTTTACATATTTCGTTGCAAAAAAAAGAAACTAACTTCACTTATGTACCTCTTTGCACGATCAGTAAGCCTGTCTACAACTTGTATAGGGCCATTCTGAATAAATTTGAGAAACAAATAGTATACTGATTTTTCTGTGTTGGTGTATTGTACTCAGGTGAATATGATGCTTGTGATGTTACTCTGAATCTATTTCCACACCGGGCAAGCTTGAAAAATATGCCTGACCACGGTGGGAAACCCTCAGTTGGCAGAGCATTGGGCTAGTATTCCAAAGGTCGTAGGTTCGATTCCCACCGTGGTCAGGCATATTTTTCAAGCTTGCCCGGTGTGGAAATAGACTCAGAGTAACATCACAAGCATCATATTCACCTGAGTACAATACACCAACACAGAAAAAATCATGACTATTAGATTACATCGATATCGAAGGAACTAGATTCTGTTCCGAAATATCACATACTCGAACCGACCTGACCGCGTAGCTCAGTTGACAGAGCAATGGGCTAGTATTCCAAAGGTCGTAGGTTCGATTTCCACCGTGGTCAGGCATATTTTTCAAGCTTGCCCGGTGTGGAAATAGACTCAGAGTAACATCACAAGCAAAATAGTATACTTTTTAGCAACGAAATATGTAAACAAACCGAGCGAACAATTTGCTAAATGTTGACAGTAAAATAATGTACAATCTAGTATAAAAACAAACCAAATTTAAACTACGACGAATATGAAAACTCATTTGGCCTACAGTATATATAGAAAAATTTACTTCAAACTTATCATAATACTGGCTTTTTTTGCGTCTAAAAAACTCGAAACAACTAAACAACTCTGAGCTATCGGGATTTCCTCCGCAAACTACGTCACAAGCTTGCTGACGTCAACCTTTTTATAAAGGTCTATTGAAAAACTGAGACGTTCGTACCTCAGCTTCAATAAGTTCAGGTTCGAGTTCCATAAAATCTCCATCCATCCATTTCTTCTCAGCTCTTTGCCATTTCAAGACTGTGGAGAATAACTTCATGAAAGGATCAATACTTTGTTGGATTACATCCAGTTGTGGGTATGTTGTCTGCTCCCATTTAAAAAGATCTTCTTCCTATAAAAATTGAAAATAAAATCCTCTTCATCAGTATAGCTGCATGGCGAACCCAGGAAACATATTGCCTGCAACATACCCAGAAACATACATTTTGTTCCTCAAGTGTGATTTTTGTTGCAGAAACAAGGTTTCCGTTTTGTCGTATTTGGGAGACACACCACAGAGTAGAGACATACAGAGACGTAACTAGTGTACCCACTTTTTTGTGCGCATGCTTGGCAAGTTACTAGATGCATGCATCTGATTGGATGACGACCTGATGACGACTCACTTTAAACTTGCTGAGCACGCGCAGTTGATCATTTTTCGCCCGGTCGCCTGAAAAAAAGTGGGTACATGAAAACGTAATCTTCCGCAGTGTTTACGACGGTCAGTTACGTCTCTGTATGTCTCTACTCTGTGGACACACCTAAGGTAGGGTATTTCGCAAATAATGACTCCGAATTTACCGGAAAGTAAGTATCAGGCAACCTTACTGGCAAAAACATGCAGCAGTAGGCTTTAGCCGTCCACGTTCATTACCTCATTGATGAAAGTGATTGAATCAGTGCAATCCGCCAGTTTTCTTTGTACTGTTTGAACATCTTTCACATATTGCATCATCATGTCCAAATCACCATACTCACTAAATTCGTCTACACGTCTAAAAATATTCATGGCCAATAATATGTAGTTCACTATCGATATATTTACTGTCCTCACTCTCGCGGTCATTAAGCTAGTTACTAATAACTTCTTATTATAACCGAACGCGAGGTCTGTACAGAGAAATATCGCACCATGGTCTTTTATTGTAAAGACCGAGACCGCAGGGCGAGGTTTGTACAAAAAGACCGAGGTCCGATATTTCTCTGTACAAACCAAGCAAGTGAGGTTAATAAAAAGTTTATTATATGGCATTTATAGGCATTTATACTTTAAACAAACAAGAAAGGCGTGATTTGAAATGCATATATTAGTAGCATGGTACACATTTGGTCGAAGACAAATACCAAATGTATTCCTAATTCTTTTCCACTAAAAACCATTCGCAGATATTTTATTAATAACAAATTAAATTACAATTAGTTTCGCTGTTTTGTTTTAAATGTTTTAAAATGCATACGTTTGTTTTTACGTAATGAACGGCCGGTCCAGTACGGAAAAATAATGGAGCGCTGAAAGTGCTTCTCAGCCAATCACAGTCCGCCATTTCACCGGACGTGATGCTTGCCATATAACATTATTTCATATTATGGACATATACCTCTGTAATTTGTCCAGCTCCAGCATAACTTTTTCCCTTTTCTCGGTCAAAGCACTTTCTCCTCTCTTTTGAGATTCTGTAACAATCTGTAAGAGAATGTGAGCTTTAAAACGCCGAATACACACAGTACAGTACCTAAGCTGAGTAAGACTCGCTGTGCATTCAACAAACAAATAAAAGCAATTGCTACGAATTTTTGTTTAATTCTACCACTATAGCTATATGCTATAACATTACATCTATGTTAAAATTTCCAGCATTAACAGAGCAACATTACAATTTCAGACGACTAGAAATACTGTACAGTATTTCAGGTCAAACATGTTCACAATAACAAAATGTGAGGAGGCATGGATGCTATTTTTCTTTAAACGCAGTTTAAAAGTGACAGTGTAATGTTCCACCAGTCGAGACGTCAGAACTCAATAGGCAGGCTCTGTAGCTGGTGATTGAAGAGTTGGGAGTTAGAGGTTCTGATAAACAAATTACTAAACTATCAAGCTGTTTTGAAACATGAAACAGCCCACAGCCACAACAGCTCACAGTGCATAAAAAGCAGCATCACCAGACTATGCACATACTGAAATTATCATGATACAGGACATCTTTTATACAATGTAGTACCAATTGCAGTGATATGGAAGAGTATATCCAGTGACAAACATGCACTCCTCTTTTCAATTAACTTGCAAGAACCCGCTCTTGTCTATGCTTATTACACGTAGCTAAGCTAGTCAACTATAATCAGTGAAGCAAATACTGCATGTAACCTGACCAAAGCTACACGTACCTAGGCTATAGGCCCGATTACCAACCGGCATAACGACTGGTAATCGAGCGTACACCTAGGATCAAGCCTGTATAAGTATAGAAATAACCACAGTCTGTTAATGATACCTCATCATTTTGGTCAAAGACAGGTCCAATATCCTTAGGCCAATTAAGCACTGTACAATTCAACGTGATATCTTCCTTGGTAAAACTGTATGATTCAAGCAGGTATGAAAGTCTACTTTGAGATTCCTACAAGAGAAAAAACACATGTCCATGCCACTGATCTATAGAAATATAGAGTCCATGCTCATTAGAAGGATCATCTACTGTACGAAAAGTAATCATGCATATGCATGCATGCATGTACATTGTATCGTACATTGCCTGTCACTATGGCTGCATGGTAGAATTATGAATACCAACGCTCTTACACACAGCTTTAATTTCAGCTTTAATTTTTATGATCAATGATTATGCATAGTTATGGATGACATGGCTCTGTATCCGAAATCGTGTTCCAAGTTGCAGCAAAAATTTCTTCATGACGTAACATGGCCTTCACTGCAACCTGCAATGGTTTTTTTTTCTGGAGACAATTGCGTTGCCAGTTTGCAGCAAAAACTGCAGCACGAACGTAAAAATTTTAAATCATTTGTCTGAAACATTCGTGCAAACTTGCCTTTATCTGCTCATTTAGTTTTATCAATCTTGCCGTCTTTGCATCCTTGATGAACTTCATCATATCCGTCATCTCAAGCGTGTCCTCCGGAACCTTTAATGCACGTTGCTTTATTCCTTCAAACTCTTTGCAAATGCTATAAACATTAGAAGGTACCAAATTTTGTAATAACTACTGCATCCAAAGAGGCAAATACGTCGTTTATCACATGTAATGTAAGGCAGTAAAGATAACGTAATATATAATAGAGATGTGCCGGATACCGGTATCCGGTAAAATTTAGACATCCGGCACTATCCGGTATAAATTTGCCGGATATTTACCGGATAGTACTGTAAGATATTTTGTTACAATCATGAAACGGAAAAGTTTACTTGGCGTTTACAAATTGTGAAACACGAACAATTACTGAGCGTGCGCTGCATTACGACGAAATTACGACATATTTTTTTCGTGATGGTGATGTGAACTGCTCGTTCGCCAACAGCAGTGAATTTTATATACATACTGAATACCAGTAAACAATGTAAGGTGAATCATAAGATATGGCCTTGGTACTAAAGACAAATAGGTCAAAGAGACAAAAAATGTGTATTAAACACATTGCCACATTGGACTAGTTAATTAAGCTATAAAATTGCTGTGTTTCTAATAAATTATTGTATGGGAGTATCTGGTTATTATCCGGTATCCGGTTATTATCCGGTATCCGGTCATCATTTTCTCCTGACCGTATCCGGTAGACTACAATCCGGTATCCGGCAAAACAGTATCCGGCACATCCCTAATATATAATATCTGCAATCAAAACGTTACAGAAAAAAACTCAAACATTAGTATGTACCATGCTTGATAAGCTTTATGGTTCACGTATATAACTTGCAATGCACCATATAGTTCTGGGGCCGGTTGTTAAAAAGAGTAGTTAAAGTTAACTACAGTTCGAGAGTTAACTACTACTTAATTAACTACAACAAGGTAGGTTTATACAACTGGTCCTAGCTGCTTAAGAAAAAGATTGTTATACTGGACCGGTTATATCGAGCACCCCTCTTGAGCTCTGCCTATTTACACAAACGATTATTTTCATGCATGAAATCTGCAATCAAGGTGTGTGGGGGCGTCCAGTACCTAGGACGGAGCTTTGATGCTGGATAATAACTTTTTCATCAAAAAGTTTTAGATAAAAATGTTGACTAAAATGTAGCAAATACATTACTAGCAATACTATTCCACTGAAGTTGGCTCGTCAATTACTCAAGTTAAATTAATTATTATTGATACTATCCGTTCATTTTCATTTTGTAACACATGTTCAGGCTTATATACCATGGTCAAAAACCACATCCCCTGGGTAGAAATATTTTTGCTGCCCAATCACTTTCAAATAGTAACTCCTACGCCAAAAAATTATTGCTGCTACTCTTGCGAATCGTGGTGAGAGATATGGTGTCTTAATCCAACTTCTCACGATTCTTTTAGGGCCTACGGTACGGCGAGCAAAGATTGGTTATCCACGGGAATGCAATCATGTAACAAAGGACACACTTACAGAACACAGTGTATATTAGAAAGCATAAGATTAGAAAGCGTAAGATGATAGAGGTACCGTTACGTTACCTTATGTTCTCATTTCTGTGATCAGTTGCAAGACGAGTAAGTAACTGTTCAGCAAAGCTGTGAGATTTAGACGCTAGTCCTCTTTTCAGATCGTCGCAATCAAGTTCTACCATGTTGAATGAAGCAATATTTGGCAACGTCGATACTTGACGAGCAAGATTGCGATACATTTGGATCTCCTGCAACAGAAAATGCAAACATCACAAATGAAATAAATTAAATATTGAATGCACTCACTTTGAATGTGAAGTCAAACTGAAACTATAGATTTTTACAAATATACCGTAAACAAGATTTCAGGCATGATTTCAGCCAACTTTAGCATTGTTTCAACCGCGTGCAAGTTCAGTTTTAATATCCAAAGTTAGTGAAAGGCACAAATGCAGATGTTAGTCTGATCTTATGGTCTGTACTTGCCGCATAAATACAAGCCTGGTGCACAAGCATATACTTTATATAGTGAAAACTCATCAAGTCCTAGAAATGTCTACATTCACACTTCACAGTCATCTGAAATTGATCACTGTGCAATGAACAGGGCAATAGCACGTGCATGACTACCCCCTATATAACACAAAAACAATAATTGTAATTAATGTTACGAACATTTGTGTATTCTTCAAATGTGTGCTCATCTTCGAGGAATTTTTCAACACTAGCTTTTGCTTCTCCAGACACAAGCATCTTAAATTCATCTGAGAAAGAAATGAAGAAAAGAATTAACCTTTCCATTTGCACGTGCAGATGGTCGGGGAAAGATTCCGAGTGTTGGCCGATTGCTATAATTTGACAACGAAAGAAAGCACCATGCACAGCTTTTCTATATAATATTTACTAGAACACAAGAAAATTCACATACGAAAGATTTCATACAATATGTCATGTCCCAGACCGCGAAGCTTTACCAAACACTTCTCCCGGCGCAACATTTTACTTTCGCCTTTGTATTTCCTACTCAATAAATGATATATTATGGCCGTTGCTCCCAACGCGTATACAAACGGAAAGGCAATGCAACCATTCACTAGTGTTTTCAAACACTACCTTAAGGTGTGTTTAACACATGGCGTGTTTTGTAACACAGCTTTAGGTGTGTTTAACACACCTTAAGGTGTGTTAAACACAGCTATCCCAAACCGAATTGCGTGTCGTGGTGCATGCAAATAATGAATAGTGTGATATGAAAGTTTAGCGAAAACCTACCAAATCTGGATAAATACTCTATCGGTTGCTCCAGGTTTTTGTTAACTGCTTCGCCTAAGAACTTCTTGCACTCCCCAAGAACAACTCCGTCGACCTTTGCATCTATGGGCGTGGTGGTATTACTACCAGATAACCAAGACTAAAATTGATGGTCAATAAAAGAAATAAACATATAGGCAATCATAATTATATTATATTATATGTAGGTTAAAAGCCAAGGGAGAGGTTTTTATTAAACTGTGAAGACCGAGGGCCGAAGGCCCGAGGTATTTACAGTTTAATAAAAACCGATATCCGCGGCTTTTAACTTGTTTATATACTCATCAGACCATATTCTTTTGTATTTTGGAGGTTTTCTTCATTAAATATTCAAGCTATCAATTCAATGATAGGTTACGGTTGTGGGACGAAATAAGGTGTCACGCTTTAAAATGTGGTTAAGCATGCGCAGTATATCATGTCACGTCCCACAAGCGAAAGAGCTATAAGATATTACTGTATAAATTCCCTGCAAAAGCAAGTTTGATGGTTGATCCAGCTAGTCCTCGTGCGCCGAATGATAGATACTCTTACCTAATGGTAGAGTTTTGACGGGCCCTGAGGTAAACGGCTGTTGTCTCTTTCTCGACTTAGAGACGTGCAGCGTTTTCTAGTCGAAAAGGAGATGTGGTCTTGAGTTTTTCTGCAAATTCAAGTCCCGTATTCAAGACTCATGCGCCAGGTCTTGAATTGAAAATATAAAACCGGGTAACCGGTTATTATTTTTTCTAATAACCGGGTACCAGGTTATTACGAAAAAATAATAACCGGTTAACAGGTTATTACGGTACCCGGTTATTATTTTTCCGATAATAACCTTCAACCCCGTAATTCGCCGGAGATTAAATCAAATACTACCGCCTGCTTTTAGATTGAAGGTTATTACGGAGGAGTTAAAAACAGACGAAATACAAAAGAATATTAGTCTGATGAGTTTGTAAAATGAAACTATTTCCATGGAACTATTTCCATGTACACTATGCTGCATGTATAGTAGTAGTACACAGTGTAGACCTTAGTGTGGTACAGAATACAGTAAAGTAAGGTACAGTTCCAAATATCGAATCAGTATATTTAAAAATATCTCCAATAACATTAGTTCAAAAGCATTGAACATGCACAAAACAGTTTAGTGTTTAAAAGTGTTGAACATGCACAAATGAGTTTAGTGTTCAAAAACGTTGAAGATGCACAAATCAGTATCATGCTAAAAAGTCTTCAAGATGCACAAATCAGTTTCGCGTTCAAATAAGCTGAAGATGCACAAATCAGTTTAGTGTTCAAAAGCGTGCATGAACAGGCACAAATCTGTTTCATGTTCAATTCAAGATGCATATATCAGTTTGGTGCTCAAAAAGGTTGAAGATGCACAAATCAGTTTAAAGTTGAACATGCACAAATCAGTTCAGTGTTTAAAAGCATTCAACATGCACAAATCAGTTCACTGTTCAAAAGCATTGAAGATTCACAAATCAGTTTAGTGTTAAAAAGCATTGAAGATGCACAAACAAGCATTGGACAGGCACAAATTAGTTTAGTCTTCAAAAGCGTTGAAGATGCACTAATCAATTTACCGTTCAAACGAGTTGAAGAAGCACAAATTATTTTAATGTTCTTTAAAAGGGTTGAACATGCATAAATCATTTAGCGTTCAAACGTACTGAAGATGCACACATCATGCAGTTTAGTGTTCAAAGTCTTTAATTGAGCTTTACATGCACAAACCAGATTAGCGTTCAAAAGAGTTGGACATGCAGAAATCAGTTGAGCGTTCAAAAGCGTTGAAGATGTGAAACTAGATCTAAACTGCCGTTTAGATATGAAACTAGTTACCAGGACAGACTATTGAAAACAGGTTTACTTCCTCTGTCTTATACTGGCACGAGTACCTGGACTTGAGGTATCTCTTTAAGGCAATTAAATTGAATGACTCTCAGATTAGTATAGTATCAAACGATCGTATCACCAGGCGCGCTACAACTAACAGTGTAACATTAAAAATTTCCAGAGTTAACACTTTAACTTTTCAGAACAGTTTTTATAATAGAGCTCCCAGAATATATAACCCCCTACCACCACATATTCGAGAAGCAAGCGTTACTGTCGGCCAATTCAAATCCTGCCTGTTAACTTATTATGAAGCAATGACTAAACAAATATATGACAATAATGATCCACAAACATTTAAAAGTATATGTGTCAAGTGTCACTCGTGTCGTCCGTTGTCCAGTCTTGTGGATAAAATGTGTTGTAAATAATGTAATGGTTTGGGGGTTTTTTTTTGGGGGGGGGTTATATATATACATATTATTAGGGACACAGTAAATGGAGCAATAAGCTCACTGAAGGGTTAACCTGCCATTTATGACTAAGTTTGTAAAAAAAGAAGAAAAAAAGATGCACCATGTCCATTATTGGTAAAAGTAGTTAACCGAAGATACCTTTCCGAACTAAGGTATTTTCAGCAGTGCACGAATTAAGATTTCAATATTACCTGAACTGTGGAAACGTTTTGCATCGTGTTTGCCACAGTATCGACGACATGAAAGACTGCTGCTTGAACATCGCTTAATACTGGATAAAACTGCATGTGGTCATCATCATCCAGGATAAGCTCAAGTTTAAATTTTGGCAGTTGATCCGCGTGCTTCTCGTCAAATAAAGCAACCCAGGCTCGGATTGTGCGGATAAGAATTTCTTTTAACTGCAACAACAAAGACAGCAAGGAATAGTATATTAGCAAAATATAAGCTGTAAAAACTACTCTGTTTCTAGTCAGAGGGTTTGTCCAAAATGCGCAGGAATTAAACAATGGCGAACAATTTAAATGTTATTATTCAAAACAAACACCATCGCCAATTTACAATTATTCGATCGAGATAAGTGAAACAAGCAAGAAAATACTGAAAACGGGTAGACTAAACACTGGGAAAAAAAAATGAAATCCATACTACGAAATTTGCAATTGCACCACTAATTCCATAGTATATCCAGACCATACTATTTCGATACTATGGAAATATTTTACAATTATTATGGATAACCAAAATCCATTCTATTTCCAATAAAGGCCCATGCAATTTCCAGTCTATGACCTTCTATATATGGATTTTCAATTATTTTCCCAGTGTTAACTCTTCTAACATTTAAAATATATAAAGAAATATAAATTAAACAAATATCTCTATACAACTATCTCAATTCATATTTTCAGGAGAGATCATCTTTGCACGATAGAAACACCAGAAATAAACAAAAAATATAAACATTCAAGCTTATAGATCGGCGGCCGGACAACGAACATTTGAATACCGAGCAGTATCCCTGTGGAACTCCCTATACCTAGTAATATTATTGAGCATGATAGTTGTAAAGATTTTAAAATAAATTTTTATAACTATTTGCTTGAGCATTTTCTCTTAGAATCTTAATGAATTTATCTTACTATCGATTTTAGACAATAAATATATAATAGAATAATTTAGATATAGTCGTACATGTAAATTAATCTGAAAAACCGAATGTTTGGAGAATTAATAAATATATAATATTATGAAAACTTTATTAAATGGATATTTAGCTTATATATACAATTGCAAATCTCACTTATTTAAGGTAATTTACAACTGGCTACTTAAATCACTGATTATATACACAAAAATTATACTATTAAAATAACAAAATGACAGTACAACGTTTAAACACTTAACAGTTCCGGATTCATCCATTCCTTGTTTCGACAACAAAATATATAATACGTTGTTCGGATTGCAATCGTCGTCATTCTTCTAATACAGTAATTCTGATGTTGCTTTTGAAAACCAAAATCATTAAGCATTTCTATGAAAGTAGAACATTCTTTACTGAAAACACCAAGAGAACTAATCGAAAGATTTACAAATTTTACTGAGTTGAAATGTTCATTTTGTTCCCTAATTAATTCTTTATATTTTGATTTTTTACGCTCAACGTTTTTTTGAAGATTTGATTCGAAGCCAACTGTAAGTTCAACAATATAGAGTCTTCCGGTTGAGGTTGAAAGAAGCAAATCTGGACGGTAGGTGTCACCTGTGATGATTGATGGACTTTTGTACCCTGGGAGATCCACGTAAAGATGTGAGCCGCTTACGGTCTGCAGGCTTGTTGCGAGAAAGTTTAGAACGGAGTCATGTCTCCACGTGAATCGTTCTAGATACGATTGGCAACCAGCTACTACGTGCAGAAGTGTTTCAGGAGCTAGACATCGCGAACAGTCTGAAGTCGGTGATAAACCCCATCTTGCAAGGTTTTGGCGCGTTGGAAGGGAGTTATTGATGTATCGAACTGTAAAGTTGAATATATTTTTCGGAAGGTTCGATTGGCACGCAGACCAAATTTTAGTGAGTTGGGACAGTGAGAACTTTGTTATATTAGTGAAGAAAGAGCCTTGACAGATTAATTGAGTATGCAGTTTATCCTCTTGTCCAGAGCGAAAGTCCTTAAGAACTTGCTTAGTGGAGTTATAAACGTCATACTGAATATTTTTGCTGTTGCTAGTTGCTTTCCAAAGATCGTTAATTGCTTCGTTTGGGGATGTTTTTAGGGCTTTACGGAGAACAGTTTGACATTGAATAAATTTGACAGATGGGGGACAAATACTGAGGCCAAACTTGTTGCGGGTTAGGAAAACAGTGCTTAGCGTTCCAGATATAAGTATATCAAGCCATTTACGGATATAACTGTTGACTTTGGAATCAATGTTTTCGGTGACCCACGTTTTCGATACGCTAGAAACTGTAAAATGCCAGGATAATTTTGACAGAAGATATCGACTGTAGAGGAGGATTTTATTTTTTGGATGTAATGGTTTGGAATCAATATCTGCCATTAGTTCTTCAACGAGTGAGATTAGTTCAGACTTGTGGTGTTCGTCTGACATATTACCACTAAAGTATCTTCCTAAGTATTGAAAAGCCTCACCGATATTGATCTTTGGAATTAGTTGCTTGTTAATAAGTAGTTTAGGCAAGTATTAGATTGATTTTGTTAGAGCTTTTTTGATGCCAAAGGTACTACATTTATCAACCCGAATAATCATGTTGGACCATTGGCACCAAATGGAGAACCGGTTTAGAAGATGTTGATTTTCGGATTCTTGACTACTTATGACGGCGGCATCATTAGCAAACTGAAACCAGTGGATGGGATTTAGAAACTGTAAGGAGAAGCCGAATTGACGATATTTATCTGTTTTTATGTGTTGTATAAAGGTGTTGAAACACATGTTGAAGAGAAGAGGACTCAGGCAATCACCTTGGAATACTCCACGAACTGGTATGAAGGGGGTACGGAATTCAGATGTAATTATTGAAGTTTGAAAATCGGTATATAGACTTTTAATTATCAATTTAACATGTTGGGGGATATGGTGATAATCAAGTACGGATGTGATCAGATTATGATGAACTTCACCAAAAGCATTCTTGAGGTCAAGTAGGATGATGACTAGTGAGCGTTGTTTGATTCGGGCTTTATTGATTATATTGGCCATTTGTGCAGTATGTTCTAAGGTGCCAGACATGTTAGGTGTGAATCCTTTTTGAATATTAGGTTCTATAAAGGTATTAACGGTTAAGAATGAATACATAGCGTTACGTAGGCAGGAAGTAAATACTTTTAATGGTATGGTCTCCATTGTGATGGGTCGGAAATTGGACGGGGTATTAGTATCGCCTTTTTTATGGATTAGTATTGTGCAAGCTTTCTTCCATTCTGAAGGGATGGTTCCGGATAGCCACACAGCACGAATGAGGTCAGTTAAATATGTTCTTAGGAAAGGCCAGCGTTTAAAACATATAATAGATAGCTTATCACGCAATATATGCGACACATATTTAATTTCGTCTAGTTCACCATTCGTTGATTTAAGGGTTTTCAGAGCTTTTTTCAAATCCTTGATTTCATAGTCCTTATATTTATTTAGAAGCGAATTGACAGGCACTGATTCGCTATAACCAAAGTTTTGGGCGACGTAATCGTATATGATGTTATTTAATAGTTTTATGTTGGAATTTAAATCTTGTGATGTGATTGGATCATTGGACTGAAGAGCGAATTTGAAATGTTCGTTGGCCGTTGACCATTCGGAATTGCTTTTAGGGAGTTTAATACCTTTTCTTAAACTCGCAATATCTTCCTTTTCAACCGTAGGAGTTTCGTTGATTGTCGATTGGTCCATTTCAGGAATATTTTCCGTGTCAGAATTGTTTTGTTCCTCTAGGTCTGTACGGATTTCACTGTCTAGACCTTGAATAACTCTACAACTGCGTTGATGCATCTTTAATCCTCGCGCTCCTTTACATACTTTACCACAGCAACACTTGATTACGGTTCGACTTGACACGACGACATTAGGAGAATTCATGAAGGGCGTTTGCCTTGCCGTATTTTCGGCAGAGTGATCTTGTTCTGCGTAATTAACTCGCTGTTTACAGCGCCATGAATGTCGACCGAGTGTAACGAAATCTTTCTCACAGAACGAACAAACGACGCAGGTCAACAATATTAATATAAAACTTGAACGAATCATGATTACAATATTTACTGATGGTTATTTGTGAAATAATTTGTGATTCAAGTAATAAAATTTTGATAAAACTGCAGACACGTACAGAGCACGTCAATGCTCTGCTCAATGCCTATAATAATAATATTAATAATAATAATAATAATAATAATAATAATACTAATAATAATACTAATAATAATAATAATAATAATAATCAATTAATAATAATAATAATAATAATAATAATCAAATAATGATAATAATCAATAATAACAATATCGGGAAGATACACAGACAACAGAGCAATCTGGGGAGAGAGCAGAAGAATGTATTAGAGTGGAAGGATATGGAGAGCTAAATAAGGACGAGAAAGAGATTGTTGATAGGATAATCGAGATCATGAAAGGTGAAGAAGATTATAAAGTATTCACATTTACGAGGGTGGATAGATGCAAAATAAATGAAATTACAGCAAAAGTGAATAAGCTAGTAGCACGAATACAAACTGATATATAACTGACGCAAACAAATTATTGAAAGCAGTACGGAATGTAGTGGCAGAGAAAATTGGACTGAAGGAAGTGATTGAACAAACTAAACAAAAGGAGCCATGGTGGAAAAAAAGACTAGATATGGATATTAAACGGCTTAGAAAAGATATTAACATACTAGAAAGGAAGAAAAGGGGAGAAATCAGAAAGGAAGGTAAATATAAAAGGCTCGAGGAAAAATATAAAATAAGAACAAAGGGGTTACCAACAGTGACTGAGGAGCTTAAGCAGAGGGTACTAGCGAAAATAGCCAAGGTAAAGAGGTATGAACAAAGGGTGAAACAATATAGACAGAATAGAATGTTTCAGAGTGACCAAAAAGGTTTTATGTGGAAATAAACAATGGTCAGGAAAGTAAAGTTGATAAAGTGATACCAGATGCGGATGAAAGTATAAAGTTCTGGAGCGAAATATGGGACAATGGAATTGAACACAATAAGGATTCTGAATGGCTACATGAAGTGAAACAGCGAATCGAATATTTGAACCAAAACGATTTGAAGATAAATAAGGAAGATATTACAAAGCAGTGTAAGAAGATCCCCAATTGGAAAGCGCCAGGACTAGATGGAGTACAGGGTTATTGGATAAAGAAAATTACTTCTTGTCATCAAAGGATTGCGGAACAGTTAGATGAGATTTTAAATGGTAAGGCTGAACTACCTCAATGGATCACATATGGTAGGACAGTGTTGTGCTTAAAAGACCCATCAAGGGGTAATACAGTTGATAACTTTCGACCCATATCTTGCTTACTATTGATGTGGAAATTGATGACAGGTGTGATTGCCGAAAGTATGTACACTTTTGTGGAGATGAATGATGTACTACCGAATGAACAAAAAGGATGTAGAAGAAAGACTAGAGGAACAAAAGACCAATTGTTAATTGATAAGTTAGTTTTAAGAGATTGTAAAAGAAGACATACATATTTATCGATGGCCTGGATAGACTATCGCAAGGCATATGATATGGTACCTCATTCCTGAATAGTGGAATGTATGAGTATGTTCAAAATCGCAGCAAATGTGAGAACGTTTGTGGAAGGTAGTATGGAGAACTGGAAAACGGAGCTAACATCTTCGGGAGAAAGCCTAGGAAATGTGAATATAAGACGAGGTATTTTTCAAGGAGATAGTTTATCTCCTTTGATATTTGTGATGTGCATGATACCATTAAGCTTGATACTGAGAAAGGAAAAGGCAGGGTATAAATTTCCCTGAAAAGAACTCAAAATCAACCATCTTGTATTCATGGCTGATCTGAAGTTGTTTGGAAAGAACAAGGAGCAAATACACTCACTGGTGAAAACTGTCCATATTGTTAGCAAAGACATTGGAATGGAATTTGGGATAAAGAAATGTGGAATGCTTGTAATGAAAAGAGGAAAGATTGTGGAATGTAATGGAATACAGCTACCTGATGAGGAAACAATAAAGTTCGTAGAAGAAGATGGATATAAATATCTTGGTATACTGGAATTAGATAAAATTATGGAAGGTGAAATGAAGAGAAAGTTTGTAAAGGAATACAGGCGGAGATTAAGACTGGTGCTGAAATCAAAACTGAATGGCAGAAACAAAATCATGGCAATGAACACTTGGGCTGTTGCGCTGCTGAGGTACGGAGCTGGTGTTTTGAAATGGACAAAAGATGAAATTGCTGCAATGGATCGCAAAACACGTAAACTGATGACACTGTATGGTGCTCTTCACCCAAGAAGCGACAGTCATCGATTATATTTACCGAGAGAAAAGGGCGGAAGAGGTTTGATCAGTTGTGAAGAGTGCATTCGTACAAAGGAGAACAGTTTGGGATGGTATGTAAAAAACAGTGTGGAACCACTTTTACAACAAATTGCAAAGACAGGTGTGATCGAAACGGAAAGATGCGAAATAAAAGAAAATTTTAAGAAGAAAGCTACAGAAAGCCTGGATTTACAAGAAAATGTATGGACAATATAACAGAGATTTAGGTAAAGAAGTGGATAGGGAGAAGACATGGTGGTGACTGAAGAAAGGAGACTTGAAACCTGAGACTGAAGCACTTCTGTGAGCTGCACAAGAACAAGATCTTAGAACTGTTGAGTCTCCACTCTGTAGACTTTGTGGGGAAAAGGGAGAGCATATAACACACTTGATAAGTGAATGCAAAAAGCCAGCACAAAAAGAGTACAAACGAAGACATGACAATGTGACTCGTATTGTACACTGGAAGCTATGTGGTTTGTACCAACTAGAGAAAGCTGAAAAATGGTATGAACACCAACCAAACGGAGTAATTAAATCAGATAATGTAAAGATTCTCCGGGATTTTAACATACAGTGCGATCATGTGATTGAATGTCGAAGACCTGATATTGTAGTGGTTTTAAAGAAGGAAAAGGAATGCAACATCATCGACATCGCAGTTCCAGGGGACTGTAGAATTGGAGGAATTGAAAAGGGAAATTTGGAAAATATGGGCAATAAAGAAAGTAGAAGTCATTCCAATAGTAGTAGGTGCCTTAGGAGCAGTTAGTAATAAACTGGATTAGGCATGGCCCGATTGTGCTCGTAAAATCCAAAAAAGTTGCTCGCTAAAACTAGAAAGTTGCTAGCTAAAAAGCATAAAAGTTGCTCAAAAGTTGCCCGAAATAGAAAAAGTTGCCACTAAAATTCTAAAAGTTGCCCGTACGTATTACATTAATCAAGAGATTTATACAATTTTTGCACGCTCGGATGAACTTCTTGTAATTAACAATAGACTTTTTAAGTTTGAAAAATAGCAAGACAAATGTCATACAAATATCAACACGAATACCTAGAATAACAAATCTTCCAATAAAATAACATCGCAAGTGTTGTCTTTATGGCTCTGCGTTTCTTACGCTAATTATTTCAAGTTTGGGGTTCGACGACGTATGTGTCATATCGTATAAAAATATCGTATATTTATAAGTCGCCATTCTGTTTTCACGAGAACACAGACAACCCTAGTCCCCAGCAAGCAAATACCAAGGGAAAGCAAGGATGCAGCTACCCTGGATTCCAGAGCCTTCGACATTAAATAATAAATTGAAACGTCGCGAAGGCTCTGGTTCAATGCAGGTGGAGATTCTTTGATTAAACCGCGCCAATCACAAAACAGAATTAGTGGTTTTAGTACAGATTCTGTACTAAAACCACTAATACTGTTTTGTGATTGGTGCAGCATGCATTCAAGGGTGTATTATTTACAAAACATTACAAAGAATATTTAATTGAGCCTGTGCACATTATATTTTACGCTGTACTGATACAGAACGTGCACAGAAATATATCGCAGAAAATGAAGATGTAAACATTTCAATATTTCAAGCTGTAAAGTTTTAATTTTAGTAAAAGGCCTAAAAGTTGCTCAGAAAAAGCTCTAAAACGAAAAAGTTGCTTCAAGTTGCTCGAACTGAAAAAAGTTGCTCAAAAGTTGCCGAGCACAATCGGAGCATGCCTAAACTGGATAAGTGGATTGAAAAATTGGGAATACATATAAGAATAGAACTTCTACAAAAAACAGCATTGTTAGGGATGGCAAGAATACTGAGAAGAAGCTTGGAAACTAAACTCTTTGGGACCTGAGGCTACTGATTGTAGCCAGCTTCCAAGGAAAAAACATAGCGTCTAGTCATATTGAACAAGAAGGGGAAGACCACCCATATAGTGACGTAGGCTGCCCATTTGATACAAGAGTAAAGGAGAGGGAAAGAACAAAGATAGAAAAATACACAGACCTTAAATATGAGTTACTAAATGTATGGAAAGGGGAAGTGACCAAGGTATTTATACTGCCAGTCATCATAGGTGCCTTAGAACGATGACCAACAATGTACAAAATAACGTGGACGAGCTGACAATAGGCAGTAACGCAGGGGATCTTCAAAAGATCGGACTGCTTGGAACAGCAAGGATCCTGAGGAAAGTCCTGGACTCGTAACCTGTCATCAATATGCTGCGGGAAGTAGCATGATGCCAGGCGCGACCGGTGCAAAACCGAGTAAAATGTAAATAATAATAATAATAATAATAATAATAATAATAATAATAATAATAATAATAATAATAATAATAATAATTATAATAATAATAATGATAATGATAATGATAATGATAATGATACTAATATACGCAAAATATAACTGGACAGTGATTTTTTAAGTCAAAAATCTGTAACAACAGTGCAGAAATCTTTAACAAACTGATCTGATTGGTGGAAAAACAATGGGAAGTTAAAATCAACAAATTAGCTTTTAAAGTAGTGCTCAAGTATAATGGCCACAGATTGCTTCAAAACAAGACAAACATATAGCGCCGCGCTAAATAAAGTGAAACGACTTTTAAATTGAAACGACTTTATCTAATAAACTGTACGAACGAAAGCGGATAAAGTGCAGAATACCGCTTTCTCCAGGACATTTTTAGACGAGCTCTCAAACAAAATATTTGCTTCGTAGCTTTTCGTGAAGTTATTTAAATTCAGGCTACAACTACAACCGTCTTTATAACGGTACATGGGTCTTTCTATTCCCATTTTTGTGACTGTAGTTCCCAGTCCCGGTAACCCAAATCCTTTTTCCTTGTCAAAAATTTGCCCTTGCCCATTCTATCCCGTCAAAACTCACTTAGAGATATATACTAAAAAATACTTACTTTGCAAAATTGTCATACGGATTCTCATCATTTGCTTGTCCAGAATGAAAACCTACAACTGGTAAGTCGCTGGAATCGGCAAAATTTGGATACTGGTTTCTAGAAAACGCAAGAAGCGATCATAAGTAAGACTGGGTATATGATTTTGAATAATTTATTGCTCGAATTTATATATCCATTTATGTCTTAATCCATTGAGCAACCAAATAGATACTTTAAACAACATCTGCAGTATTAACTATAATTGTCTTCTTTTGTAATTTATTGTAAAAATATACAATTATTGTAATTGTTTACAGGTGTCGGTACTCATTGTATTTATGGAATTAGTGTTAACGTTGTTAATGTTGATTGAGTTGTGGTAGCTGTTGGAGGATATTGTTTAATGGCGCATGCATTGCAGGTTTCGGAATAAGAAAGGCCTGTGAGGGACTGCGGAAATGGAATACCTCTCCTTCCTTTAAGAATTTGGTTGATGGACAAAAGTAGGTTAATGAGTTTATGGATGCCACTAGTGTTGATGGCTGGATGAATAATGAGTAGCTGACTGTACGTAACATACTCGTTAATGAGATGATGGACCGATTGCCTGATGTATATAGTTTGGCTGGGGGAACAAACTGGTCAATTGTTTCCTCTAACAAATAACCATTTTGCATCCATAATTCCAATAAATGTACGTATGAAATAATTCTTTACAAATTAGACCAAGATATATTTAAGTACAGTTTCTTATTTAAATTTGTTCAACATTTGTAAATCTATTGAACTGACATCGAGCTTCGACTGGTTGTACTTATCAAACTGCTCATTTTCTTTAAATTTCCTCATAAAAAGTGATTTCACTCCCCCGCCCAGAATTGAGGCTTAGTGAGGCGTGGCATGTTTTGGTAACGGCCTATTATTAAGACTAGGTTACCCACAGGGCAATAATGCTGCCTTTGACAGCAAAAGACAATCTACAGGGTCACAGAATAGATACCGGACCAGACGTGTCACTCCTATTTGTTTTGGCTGAAGGAAAACGTCCGAAATTCTTTTGCGTGCTACGATGCCATCCTGGAGTGCACCCGGCACTTTGTACCTATGTTTTCCTATGAAAAACTTCCGTGTGCACTCCAGGATGGCGTCATATGATGGCGTATTTTCACGTCAGCACTCGTAAAATTTCGGACAAAATATCGTCTGAGTGACACTTCTGGTCCTGTATCTATTCTGTGACAGGGTGTTGAACGAGTCCTTCAGAAACATCCTATTATTGTTTAGCCTGCATGACAGGCGGTTCCTAAAATTGGGCAAGCCTGGGAAATACCGCCTGCCATGCAGGCTAATTATTGTTGTCCTTGTTAACCCATTTATTGACAGTACCCGACCACTGACTGAGTATTAAAAATCGTCTGGTGTTGGACAGGGTAAATACTAAATTAGGGGTCATTACTGTGCTGATGAATTAACAAGAGCCATTGGCAGATAGGTTTGTTAACCCATTTACTGGCAGTACCCTCTACCACTGACGAGTAAAATCTTCTGGCGCTCGACAAGGGAAGGGCGCATTGCCAGCTAATAGGTTAAACCACCGTGGTTAAACATAACATTTCATGATGCTGCAGGAAATGTAAACAAGCTATCAGTGTGACATGCCAGTTTATATATTTATATACTCGGAATTTTGATTTCTCGGTACATACAAAATTATTTTAAAGTATAACAACCAGCGAAGACGTAAGGCACTAACTACCCTGCGCGGCTGCGCGCAGACTATATAACAACATATATATGCCATCCGTCCGGTCCGTCCGTCATTCATCCGTCCGTCCGTATCCGCGTTTTATCCTAACTCGTTTTTAAAACACAAAGTTTGCATTCAATATTTTCAAAAGCGGCCAAATAGACCAGGGGTTAAAGCGCAATGACAATGACATGCAGGTGACATTTAACATTGCGTCTCACTAATTAAAATGTGCGTGTTTAATAGTGTTTATAATTATCAAAGAGAGCAAAAATATATACAAGACAATCTCACATGTGGAGTTTTTTTCACTTACAGTACGTACTGCCTTGTGACGCAGTACAAGTATAAATACAAATGACAAAGCTAGCATTTGTAAATCCTAAAACATAATTAAATCATTAAGATTTTAATATCGTATTTCAGGCGCGTTTATACTGTTTGGCGCATTCGTTGCGTTATATTCATTTACATGTACCATAGGCAAAAAGCATTTATCAACCATGCACATACCAAATTTAAGCAATCGTTAAATCATATATACATGTCATGGAAAGAATATGGAAATAATGTTGAATGAAAGCTAGCATCGCGTATAATATTAAAAGCACCGCATATAGTGCTCGAACCACTGCGTATAATTGCAAAAGCATCGCGTATATAAATGGTGAAAGCACCGCGTATAATACTGGAACCACCGCGTATAATGGCGAAAGCGCCGTGTATAATGCCAAAAGCACCGCCGTATAATGCTAAAAGCACCCAACAAAATGCCGTTTGCCTTATGCCTGACCGCGCTGCACCACGGTTAAAATTCACTGGTACCGTCATGCAATCCGCCAAATAAAAAATTTTGATTTCGACCCACAAAACAAAATTAGGATCTGCTGCCTTGCTCGCTCGCTTCAGGCTCGCTCGCTGCGGCAGCAATAAAGTTTAGTCAGAATTACCTTATCACACCAATTGACCAATCAATGTCTTTATAAATATAGACAGCAAACGCATCATTGTTAGCACCATTCGCCAGAAAGAGTTGGAATGTATTTTTCTAAAAATGTAATCACAAAGTGAAGTTAAATAGATGCGACTTGTATAGGAATGACATAAAACCACCGGAATGTCCGAATTGAATTTTCGAATTTTTCATAGGGTAAAATTACCCACAAAAAAGAACACGCGGAGGGAGATGGCATACGTGCTAAACACACACAACAGCCAACTGGTCGGCGGTAAATTGGTGAATCGAGGAAACGGCCCGTCTAACCTCTAATTGATCGTCAGCACAACTGGAAAATTTGCTGTCGCTGTGCAGAGATATTGCTGGCGCACGTGACTTTTTTAATTTTGGATTGATTGAAAATTCAGGCTTACATAGCTTGGAGTTGGCTTTTGTCTTTTCGAATATCCATTTTCATTCGCGGATTACCACAACTAGTGTTGGTTTCATGGGTGCCAAAATCGACATAAACGTAAACCGGTAACCAACAGCTATAAAAATAGCTTTTCAAAAATGTAAACTTTATTCAGTCAAAAGAATGAGGGTAAATAAACATGCTACTGCGTGATGGTGATTTCGAAGCAACTTTGTCACATACTGTATAGTTTTAAAAAGTGGGATGATAAATCAAATGTTTCTTTTTGCAATCCCAAAAAGGTATGAAAATTATTTAAATGTTAAGGGTTCATGTTTATAATGCATGTTTTGAAAAAAGCCTCGGGCATGACTGCTGAATTAGCGTGTCAAATGTCTTCTTGTTTGTGCTAATATTAAAATATTCTATTGCTTATTGCTGTTCAAACAAGATATGCTATACACTGAAAACGTAGAGTATAGTTTACTTTGTCGTTGTCTTGGCAAAAAGGTATAAAGATTATAAACATGCAGGCATCCAAAAATATACAACAACCGCGAGCGTCTCGCTATCTCTTCGCAATGGTGTCAAGTAACGAAGTAAATGCACTTCGTTACTGTACTTAGTGAATACTATTTTTGAGACGTCAGCATGCAACAAAGTAAACTTTTTCTGGAGTATTTTTACTTGGAACGAAGTCGTTTCAATAAGTAACGTTTTACTTTGTTATTTTAATTTTGTGGCGAAGTATTTCGTTACTTTCTAACTTTTGTTTAATTTTACATGATTTATTCTTGTTTTATTTTAATTTTGGGATAGATAATAGGACCTCTACATGCGTTTGGGATCTCTCATTTATGGCTTACTTATATGCATTACTTATTTAATGGATTTTATATCTTCAACGGGGTCCAAAAAGTAGAGCATGCCGTGAAATATTGTATATTAGGTACATATAATGAGTGAGCTGTTTTGCGTCTTTTGCATGTCAATCCATTCGGGAAATGCACCCCCCCCCCCCTTCCCTACATGCCAGAGACAATAGTACTTTTACTTTTACTTTGTACTTCCAGTAAATTTTAAGGATACTTTGTACTTTTTACTTAAGTATGTTTTGCCTCCAGTACTTTTTATACTCTTACTCAAGTCGCTTTATTGTTAATTACTTTTACTTTTACTCGAGTATAAATTCAAAATAATTTAGGCACCACTGTTTCTTCGGTAAAGTCTTCAAGTTTCAATGGTAGTTTTGGTTAATCTGGTGCATGTGCAAGAAATTTCCCAGTTCTTGATCGTCGGTAAAAATTTTAGCATGAATGTAAAGCTTGGTTAATACAAGCAAGAAAATTGCTTCAAAGTTCGTTACTGTAGAAATGTTGACAAATGTTGTGATCGTGATGGGTAATGTATATGTAAACATTTAAATTAAGATACGTTAAAATCTGATTTTGTTGCAAGTTGCAACAATTCTGTTGCCCGTATTACTCCATCTTAAGGTGGCTCCTTAGGGTTTTTAATTTACTACAGTATAGTATTCAGGAGACTCCTGTTTCTTCACTTTAGATGGCATGAAGACGAAATTTATTGGACACATTGTCAATATTCCCCTGAACATTGCAAATTGCTGCTTTTGTGTTAAAAATCTGTTGTCATGTCGTGACATTTTAAAAATTCCCTTCGGGCAAATTATTTAAAACTTTCCATAAAAGATAATACTTTCTTCAATTTAAAAAAATTAAATCAAAACGTTCCCTATAAAATTTAAAAAAGGTTAAAAATCAACATTTAATAAAAATTTCCCTTTCAATTTAATTTTAAAGAAAAAATGATATTGCATTTTTTGTTCAACTTGTGCCGGTATTAAAAAAATGTGCAAAGTTTTAAAAAATTTCAGGGCAGAAAAAGGGAGAAGTTTGGGTTTAATTTTGGCAACTTTTACTAGATTTTGACGCGAACAATTTTGTACCACAACTGACGTGTACATGCATTTTGTATAAAACAACAAGGCATGACTTTTTTGAAATCACAAAATATAAATTGTGTTTGATATACTGTTTATAACTGTGTCGGTTGATGGTCAACTAAGCGTGGATTATAGCCTACATGTAAAATTGGCAAAAATATTTAGGCAATTACTGGTTATGACTTCTTGGTATTAATTTGAAAAATGTTTGTCAAAATTCGTCCCGTGCGAGTTAGTACTATATGAATGTTTTTACAAAATGCCCGTTCAAATTTCAGTTTTTATAGTGGTATATTTGGAGTTTCGGCCCTGCTCATTTCACCCGTAGAAAGCTCATTATTTAAGTCATCTTTATTGTCATAAGTGCTGCTAGATTGTAGAGAAAACACTGCAAATTCTTGAGGAAACTTTATATCGTGTCCCAATGTTTGCGGTCGAACCTCACGTACGGCGTCACGGCGGTTCAAAAAAACTTCCAGAATACCGCTTGAAAAAAAACAACTTTACATTATCTTCTTTTGAAACATCACATCCAAGTATTTTTGGGGGCTTTTGGAACTCTTTTTATGCTTTCAACTAAAGCAAAGCTCACACTTTTGTTTCAAAAAAGATTTCTATATAAAAAGCAACGTTCGTTCGTATTTTGAAGTCACACGAGTTTTAGATTACATATATACGAAGAACGTAACCCCCGGAAATGAAACCCTAGGGAGCCACCTGAATTAATTAAACAATTCGTTAAATTGCTAATTGAACGCAAGGGGCTTTTTATCGACGTCATTGCAACGAAATCCCACAGGTGCATAAACTTCTGCTTCTGGAATTTAAAATAAAAAAGCAAACCGTTTATTAAGCCCGCCGCACACGAGAGCAACTTGCTGAGCTAACCGCCTCGCGTGGCAGCTAGCTCAGCTATGTATTTTCACCGCACACGATGAGAAAACTACTCAACAACAACATAAATGACAAAATCATTTGCATTTTCCGCCATTTTGTTCCAAGTCACATGAAGAAACCATGGTTTGTCATTGGCTAATTGATTCAAACAGCTCAGCACTTAGCTCACAACATCCGCAGACGCTGAGATTTTTTCCTCGCGAGGCGACAAATATCAAACACGATAGATATTTTCCTCAAGGCCTCGAGAGGTCAAATCCTCACGAGAACTGTCCGCACACGAGAGCAACTTGCTGAGCTAGCTGCCACGCGAGACGGTTAGCTCAGCAAGTTGCTCTCGTGTGCGGCGGGCTTTAGTGTACTCGTTTTGCTTGACTTGGGCGTTAAAATATTTGGACACAAAGCGAAAACGTTTTAAAATGCTTAAATGTAAATACAAGTTCATTAAATTCCCAAACGTGTAATCACGCGCGTTTAAGAGCGGCTTAAGAACAATGAGATAATTTCTATAGTGTCACTTTTTTGTACAGTGTCCCAAAAAAACGAAATCTATTGAAATCACTTATTGTTAAATTTGAATGCCCTACCAAACAGCTGGACGTAATGATGCGTCAAATATTGACAAGGTGCATGTATTAGAATTTAGTTAGGAATATCTCCTGGCAAAGTGCGCGATTTTCTGCTCCTGGGAATTAAAAACAGCTTCTTAAACAGTTTCTTTATGCATAAAATTTACTTATGTCAATCATTTATGCACTCGTGGGAACCAACAGAGCGCTAAGGCATTCAAATTCTAACAATTAAATTGTTATTGGTGATTTCAATAGTTTTCGTTTTTTTTGGGACACCCTGTATATACCTTTCTCGAAATCACATTTTTCTACCGTTGGGAATTGCACGTAAAGCTATTTATTGTCTTAGTATTGAAATTATTCACATTTGGGATTTAAATTGAAGTCCCTTGTGTAAATATGGCGCAAACGCATGTGCAAGCATCAAGTTTATATTATCTAAATAAACTTTTACCTATACTCGCCTTTTTACATCAAAATTGAGTGACTACACATTTTACAACACTGGATGCTCATTCAGTAATTGCAAACTGGACTCACAATAACATACATTTCCCAAATGGGCACCAAACATTTGGCTATAAATGTTTGAAAATTGAAAGGAATCTCGAAGGTGGAAAACGGCGCATTATCGCAAAAATTCTGTAAAAGCGAGGGGTGTCATTTGAAAGCTGAAAGCCTGTTTAACCTCTAAAGCCTGGTATGGATATGCCCATGGTATGCTTGCATGCGGTATGCCTGCACTATCATTGTTTATATACAACGGTTGTGCGTACATTGTGATTGAATTATTTGGTTGAACCGCTTTTACTGCTTAACGACAATATAGCCGCCGACATACCCGCAGGTATATTTGTGTACCAGGCTTAACTTTAAAATTAAAGGTAGTAAATCGCTATAATGTTATCATTTTACTGAAACTATCAATAAGAATTGGGAGATATTGCTTCATTAAATCGAATGATTGTACTCTTGTCTTCATAGTATGCACTGAACCAAAGATGCGATAATGCGAATCTTCAAAGTCGTTAGCATAAAGACCAGGGGCCGGTTGTATAAAACTCTTGATCACTTTTTTAATCACTATTTTGTAGTTAAATAGTGACTAACTATCAAATACGCGCTTCTTATTGGATGACATTTCCACTAACTATAGTTAACTTTAATCACTTTTTTATACAACCGGCCCCAGGACGATACTGTCCTGGTCTAATTATGGGCAAACAAAAAAGAGTTTAATGAATAATTCAGTTCACTTACCCCACCATAAGTAACATCCCCAGGTTGTTTCGGTCGCAAATCCACCCAGGTTATGATCGTTACCCAAAACGGATTGTACCCTGATTCGCCTAATATTGTTCTGCCAAAGTCCCTAGCCTTGGTAAACACGCTACGAAAGTCGTTATTTGAATCTTCGTATTTACGATAAAACACCTTTGATTGTCCACTTTGAAAGTAGTCTAAGTTAACAAATGACCAGTATGGTGCAAGACAAGCAGAATCACTAGTCTGCCCCCTATAGGTACCAAAATTCCGAGGATTTACTTCGTAAGTGCGCGACTCAAATTTTACTAATCCATTCGCGCATACCTGAAAAATAAAGTGCATATAAGTTCCTGGAATTGGACAGCATGCAATTGTACGCATCGATTACCGATTCAATTGACACTTGGCATAATGGATATATAAAATATATATATATATATATATATATATATATATATATATATATATATATATATATATATATATATATATATATATATATATATATATATATATGCCTGTGTAACCTATTGTATGGTGTTGTATGACAATTGCATCCCTAGTTACTTTTTCAGTTCCCAAGCATTTTTCTTTCATCGGTCATTTTTTACTTCTACTTTAGTATGCTCAGCATAGAAAAACTTTAAAAAATTTAGTGTTCCCTTGCTATATATATGTAAATAAGTAGACCATACTAAGGTTAAATATATGCTTTAAAAAAATATGGGATCCAGAAAAAAAAAATAGCCTTTGATGCACTAAATCATCTGCACAGTGATGTATCTGAAGGATAGGGGATACTGCATGGCCTCCTACACAGAATTAAAATAATCATTAGATTTGCCTATTAATAGTAATCCCTAATTTGTTGCGGTTTCGGGATAGACGAAGCAGTATTGGTCGGGATTGCTTTACTCCTTGCTATAGCCCATTGCTTCTGTTCAGAAGATCGTGCACTGGGTAAAGAAAGCACCAAATTTTGGATAGTGCAATAGCACTTCATGTGACAATTACATTTAGATATATTGGCATTTCAGAGTTGCTAATGGTTCCGACAAAACAACAATAAATTTCTATATTTAAAAAAAGGTAAAGACTTAAGTTCGCTAGATATAGATATTTGGCTACCTATATCATTTTACGAAGCGTTTACTGTCGTTGCAATTGAAGTGTTGCTCAAATATTGATTCAATACATTACCTCGGGCTGATTAATTCATTTGATCAAGTTCCTCGAGATATTCATATACACTTCCTGTGAAAGAGCCAATTCCAAGTATTTGATCATTTCTGGTCACTTCCTTTCTATTTATGATTGGTTAGTTGGACAAACAACAAAGGTGACTGGTGCATTCAAACTATTCAACAGGAAGTTTACAATTATACTAGGAAGTGTATATGAATATCTCGAGGAACTTGATCAAATGAATTGGTCAGCCCGAGGTAATATTAAATTTTACATTAAATCCGCAAAGCTCATATTGTTGTATAGTTAAAAGTATTAACCTTTCAACTAGTTTGCGTTAATTTTTGCCGTTTTGTAAAAAAATATTTAAAAAGAAAAATATCGTGTTGTTACAGCAACACATCATGCACGCCACAACGCGCTCTTGCGTTCAATGTTGGCCAATTAATAATACTTCGTGTTAAATGAACGTTTGCTTGTCAGTCTTCTAAGCGTTCGCAACCATATCACTTTTCCCGATTTTATTATAAGCATGTCATAAACATTAAGCTAAGAAAGTTTCAGCAAAATCTCAGCAGGAATTGAGTATTGAGGAATTAACTTTTAAAACATCTTACAATATTTGTTCCCAAATCAGTAACAAATAAAAGGGGGTCTATTATAGGGGGTACGCATCTCCGAAAACCGCGCTGTTTTTCAAATTTTAACCGCAAACCGCGCACTCATTTCTCTTTTAAACGTAACCGCGTTCAAACCGAGGCATATGTGGTAACATATTTCGAAACATATTCCGCAACATAATGTGAGGCAATAGACCAATAGTCATTATGTATATTCGCCATTTCTATTGGAGTATTGAAAAGGAAGCCGTTCACAAGTTTCACGCGAACTTGGTAGTATAAAATTTGGCAATTGGCAAAGCAAACGAAGTCTTAGCAGTTTAAATAGCTATAAAAACGTTTTCCTTCCATCGCTGCTTACGTTTTGTGTGAGAAACAATCAAGTTGCTTTGATTTCATCTTTTCGGGCAAATATTTATTACTTTGAGACTGATTTCAGTTCGTAATTAGTAGCAATCGGCAAGTCAGAATATTAAAAAGCATGTTTTACTTTTACGGAATAATTTTCCCCGCAATAATTTCACAACCCCAGGTAAAGCGGAATTAAGCGGAATTTTTGGTGTTCTGGTGTTCCGTATTCCGGAATGATGCTGTTCCGGTGTTCCTGATTTTACTAATAGCCCGGCCACTTTGCCTATTTGATTTCGTCATTTCGAGACCCTGTGGAACAACACACAAGCGTGATCGGAAGATGAATGCCATGAACTGAATTATTGCCTTGAGCTCGTAAAATATTTCTTAACCCCATGTTAAAAACTATCCGAAAACCGCTATTTATTTTGGTCAATAACCAAATCCGGAGGGTTAATTTCGACATTTTCCGTCTCCGCACGATTTCCAGTTAACCGCAAACCGTACAAAATAACTGGATGTAACCGAAATCCGACCTCAAAATATGGCTAAATCCGCATAACCGCGAAACTATATAATAGACCCCCATAAAACTGTGTGCTTGTTCTTACATAAGCTCTTGTGAAGTCCTTTCCTTTAAAATTGAATCCAATCGAGGGCAGATTCAGCAATACACAGTCAGCTGTTTTCCGTCTAACTGTTCCTATTCCTGTCCCTGAACCTTCGACTACTTGAAAATTGAGCTCGCTGTCGCTAGTGTAATCAATTAACCGATCTGTAACAAAAGAACGAGCAGTTATCGTATACCGGTTATATTGTAGATGTAATAAAACTTGAGGGTATCGTGGGCTATTCGATTATTTAATATTGCGGTATTTTAAACAATTTACAAAGAAAATTAAATCAAAACGCAACTTCCAAAGAAAGAACTAAATTACTCCAATGTGGGCACTTACCATTTCCCAGATTTGATTCTGCGCTTCCCTCAAACTCTCCATTCTGACCTATAAAGAAAACAGTACATTTTTTGTTCATACCATGCGTATATGCACTACATTTAATATCATTATATGATTTGTATCTTGCATTATACAATATTAGCAGACAGGAGGTGCACTGTACTTAATTTAAAGATGATGTCCACTCCGCTCTGCGCATCAGTTCTGCTCATAACAAAGGGGGACCCCCAGATATAAACATTGCCCAAATTTTGCATCTTTCTAACTTTTTTGAATTGAAACATAGAGTTTATATTCATTTACAAGCATAGCGAACCAGTGTGTTAGATATTCAATTGGTATATCATATTTTACAAATACAGCAGTTCAAAACGTAAAGAAAGTTCGCACATGCGCACACGAGTGGACATCATCTTTAAGGCACAAAATGGACAAAAATGTTGAACTTATAAAGTATATCAATTAAAACATCCTTCCCAAAAATGTTCGATCTTGGCTATTGAGCCTCGTTTTTCTGATTCAGACATAGGATTTAGAGCCTTGTTACAGTTCACACATTTACTAAAACAAACCATACAGTATATAGGCTAATAGTGATATAATTCATGTAACAACCTAGATAAAGGGCTCTTATATTTCAATGTCTCTAACACGAGATTGTATAATATAGCCACGGCTAATTACCTTCCGGAAGAGTTTATTGTATTATAAAAATTATTTTTCCATGAGCTAGTGCTTGTTACAATTTGACATTTTCGTCGTTTATTGTTATGGAGTACGTTTAGTCATACATACATGTTGCACGACCTGCGATTAGGTCGTTCGGTATTGGTGGCCTAGTGCGTGTTGCATGACCTCTCTACATGCATGTTGCATGATCTCTGATTAGCTTAATTACGAATCGAAAGCTTTAAATTCCTAAATGCCGGTAAAAATTCTTAATAAAACATACAATCAGTACTCTATGCTATTTACGTTAAATACGACACATTCCTTGTGGAGAGTTGGGGTGTTTCGGATATTTGATGCAGGTTCAAAGTGATAAACCAAACTAAAACTACGATCTTTACAGTTATAATTGAGGCAACACTTATGCCGCCATTCACGACGGAGTAGTATGGACTAGAATCCATCGGACCACTATAGGTTTATCGCAGGTCATGGAAGAAAGGTGTAGTCTGTGTGGCGAAAGTAAGGAAAATGTTGTAGAGTTGCTGGCTTCTTGTTAGGTTTGCTTGGTTCCGCAGTAATAAAGCATGATGACTGTGCAAGAGCTATTTATAACAGAGCCTGTTGGGATCTAGAATTGTTAACAAATTAAAGTTACATCGTTGGTAGGAAAAATCCAGGTGTATCGTCGATAGTAGAAAATGACGAGTGGGTTATACTGCGGCATCATATGACCGATCATTGGAATTTACCATGAGACCAGATAGATACTGTTTGGGAGCAAACAACAATGGAGGGGACCATAGTAATAGGCATTTGCTTTATCAAAATCTGCGATGGCAACTGGATGAAGAAAGAGTTACTGTAAATATTTAATATTAGGGAAATCAGTGAGCTACGATGATGACGTAAATAGAAGGATACATGTGGTATAGCTGGAGTGACTGGGATTGGTGGCAAAAATTTTGAAGATGAACTGGAAAGTGACCCAGCTGGAAGGAATCTCGCGAGAATCAGCAAGGAAATTATGTATTGTGGAAATTGGGAAAACTCGAAATTGTGTGAATACACTCCGCCCTTCGTTTTCCTAATTTCCACTCGTGTTGATATAACTGTATATCAACACGGAAAATGTTTTATATTTGTTAATTTTAAAACGTAATTTACTTATTATTTTAATACAAGTGTGCTATAACAGACAATTTGATAGGCTAATGCGCGTGCATTGTGATGCCGCAAAAATGCACTGTCGTCCGTGGCACTACCTTGCTCTCTCTGTGGTTTTTCCTGCTTCATCTCCGCCTTTTAGCCACAAATATAAACAAAACTATAGAACTTTTACAATTCAAAATTTTTCAGAAAGCAATAAGGAATACTGAATAGACGACAGGAACCAAGCAAATTTATCTATAGTTCGACGTATAAAAACAGTAAAATTAACAGGCAAGCTTGGCCTCCACAAGTTTTGGGCAAAAACGTGCAAAATAGCCGAGAAAAACCCCCAAAAGATACAAGAATATCAAAAACATAGAAAAAGGCAACAAACTGAACTGAACATAAGTGATTTAGAATTCAAAGTACCTTCAATGCTTCTGATAAAAAAATTCTAGATACATTTTCGGCGAAAGACAAAATATACAATAATTTCAATTAAAACTGAGCAACACGACGAAATGTCACATATTTCACAGCAAATCCAACAGCCGAAATCAGCTGACAAAGATTGGCAAATCCCAGCATTTTAAACAGTTTATACGCAACTTTAGCATAAATTTTTTTTTGTCTCCTTCGTGACAATAATCGTTTTCTATTTCTTAAGTAATAATTACGTCGCTGTTTCACAAGTCGAAGATTTTTTAAACATTTAAAAGGCGAATATTGAACGTTAATAATATACGTGAAAAACATACTATAACCAAAAGCCTAATAACTTATTATTAACAACATACGTCCTTTCTTAAATTGAATTCAGGTAAAATTTAAGAAAATCTGGCATCATTCTTTTCAAGATAAACACTAAAAATGACTAGAAATACTTTCACAGCTTGTGTAAAAAATTCTACGAATATTCCTCGTGCGCGACGCGAGAATGACGTCTGAATAATGCGCCTAAAATTCCCTGAGTCTCAGAGAAAACTATATAGAACCCCCTGTTAATTACCTACTATTTAGGATAAGAAAAACACTGAGAGTTATCAATAGGTAGACTTGCATTTCAAGGTAGGTTTACTTGAGATACAAAATGGAATGTAGTAAATTGTAGTTCTAAAACGCTTAAAGGGGGCTCTCAAACGAGGGCGGAGTGACAAAGCGTGGAGATTGCAACATGACAAACACGGAAAGTTCTAGTTTTCACTTTTGCTTCTAGCAATTTATCAACTAGTGGCTCTTGAAGAAAGGATCAGAGATAAAAGATTCCCATATAGCGAAGTTATTTCATGATGAGCCACATGAATCATCTGAACCGATCATATACTAATCAAGTACACATTACAAAAAGTGATGATGCATGCAAGGGAGAAGAGGTTTAGATTTCCAGGTTATAGGCATACAGCTAATTCAAAAAAGGTTGTCCTTCAAAAAGTCTCAAACTTTAAACATTGAGCGCGCAAGGTATGATGGGTATTGCTTACTTCGAACCTTAGATCGGGCATTAGCTTGGTGAACCAAACATCCCTACATTGAAAGTGTTCATTATATGCTAGAGTAGGGTTGCAACAATGCGCTCAATGTTTAAGCTTTATGATTTTTGAAGGACAACGTTCTTGCATTAGCTGTATATACATGCAGTAATAACTATAAATTTAGTAGCAGCCATATTAAGGGGGCGAGGCCGTTTTCAGGAGCACATATTTACCAAGTCATTTACCGCGAGAAGCTTCTCAGGCTATCTGGGGGGAATGTCAACACATAATTGTTTTCCTAAAGGCATGCAGTAAAGCTTAGAAATGCTATATTCCCTGCCGTGTGACAGCAGATTTAACACCATTTTTAATCTCACAAACATTGACACAATGATTATAATTATTTTACTTTATTTTATTTTATTCTATTTTACAATCTTTGTCAGATAAATGACAGATTATGAGCAGGTTTATATAAATCCTGGCATTGTTTTCGCAGAATGTGTTCATTTTGTCTTTGGAAAAATAAGGGAGTACTGTAGAGAATTTTTTTAGCTTTAATTTAAGCCTAAATTTGTTTGTTTGCTTACTATGTTGGCGGCTAAAATGTTCCGTTATCCGGCCAAACACGAAATTATATACTAAAAAGTAAGATGCGTATAAAATTCTTAAGTACTTTTTAGCATTTTACCGAAATGGCATGTGATAAAAACCAAACATACTTGCAGATTTGGTGAGTCCGGGATTGGACGCACCTCGGGTGGCTGGAAGTTTCCCGAACTCACCTCGCTTCATTCGGGCATGACTGTTCGGGAAACTTCCAGCCACCCTCGGTGAGTCCAATCCCGGACTCACCTCCCTGCAAGTATGTTTGTTATAGAACACCTCAATAATATATGTGATTCAGTTTCCAGAAATATAACTAAAATTAATATCATGACGCCGCAAATTGAACTCCTACAGTTTCCGATATTTTACAGTTCCTGTATATAATTACTAACTACATCGTCATCGGTCGCACGCAACCAACATTAACCCTTAAACCCTTTCAAGATTTTTATATCCTATCGCACTCAATGACAGCAAACGAATTTTGTATCTGTGTACATGCACCTGTTCCTTGACAAATTTTGATAATACTGAATATCAAAATTTACTTATCTTTACTAAACTTTACTTATGCATGTTGTTGACAAATTAATAGTCCGTTATCGACCTTGTTATAGACAGCCGCAAAATGCCCAATGAGAATAATTGCATGAAAAACATTCACACATCATTTCTGTAAGTTGAAATGCATGCAAGGAGTCTCAACGCAGTCTGTTTATGCAAATAGACATAAAGTGGAATGCCTGGAATGCAGTCAATACATCCATGCATGATTCCTGTGGCATTAAGTATTCTAGACTAAACTCTACAGAATAATTTTAATTTTTTTGATGCTGTGTTAATTGATCAATTTTTTTTAAAGATCACTGTCAATTGATATATATTTTCAACTATTTAGAACGAGAAGTATACTATTTTCGTTGACGTTACCGAAAACAGAACATAAACTGAATAGCGGTGAAATAAGATCCGTGGTTTTGTCGTAACAAAGTTCGGTAGCAACACTATATTGACCTAATAAAGGATTTTATAGACAGTCTGGTTTAGTTTATAGTTTATACAATACATGAGTTTATGAGCGGTCGGTATGCATATGATTACTATAATAATAATAACAATAATAACACTTTATTTATTGAGGATAAACAGATAAAGTTACAACTTTTTTCCAATCTGGTCCTCCTAAACTCTATAGACACAACAACAATAACATTAAACATGACTATTTTCAGTACTTCCTATAGAAGTATGAACAAATCATGGGAAATCATCAAACATCTATATATGTTCAATGCGTCATCGAAGATTGCGTTCAGACTCTTTCGAAGCATAATTGTGCTTTAGAATAGGGTTTTATAAACTGTAATTCAGTATAGCATTTGGTCTGAAAAAAGATTCACAAGCGTTGAATTTGTTGTTCTAACAAATATACATTGCATTTTATGGTTAATTATACAGTTTTATATGGCTTTAGCAATTATAGACAAAGCTTACATGCATATCAGTATATATACTATTATTAGGTAGAACTTATAGTAATGTTCAATTTGGTTGTAAAGGCCGAGACACACCGGACGCGATTCGACAACGCGTCGCGATTTTTCAGTTTTTAAAAGTTAATAAAACAGGCAGCCAATGAAAGGAAATTATAAAAGATATATGTAGACCAAATAACTCAACATGTTATAGCGCTTCTAAATATTTGAAAAACTTAAACCAGGATGAAAGTTATCATGCAGCAAGTGAACATCGAAATATCGCGCTGCGTAATTGTCGAATCACGTCCGACGTCCACAGAAATTCGTCTGTATATACCTATATACCTATATACCGAAAGTAGGCCTATGAAAGTCAAGTATGAAAGTCAGAAAGTACACCGGGAAAAATAATTTGCATAAGTTATCAGACCACGCCATTTTTTCCCATTCGCGGAAAATGCGTTTCTGAATTGTGCCAGTGATCCTTATTGAAGTATTTTTGAATTCCTAAAACCGGCAACGACCGGGCCATTAAGATGAAAACTATATGCTTAGCCTTAAATCGGAGTTTTGTGTCATTCCTTTTTTAGTTGTTTTCAACAAATTTCAGAGGATCCGCGGCGGTTTTCGATTCGCCGCGTCTATATAGTTGATTAACCCTATAGCTCCCTTTAAATGCTAAACCGATATTAATGTTAACTGTTTTTTAGTGCAACTGTTTAATTAAATAATTGTCTGGAGTTTAAATTTATAATTTACATTCATAACACGGCATTTCGACAACTGAAAGTAATTTGTTTCGAAAGCGGAAAATACATCCTTGCCCATGCATGCAGCATATACCTATAACTGCATAGGCAATAATTTGAAACTGATACGTATCTGATGCCTAGTTTAATTGAAGTTATAACAAATATAGCTTTACTACATGTACAGTTTACCATTTATATATGGCTGAATTTAAACTATACAGGATGTAGTTTAGAAGGTATTGTAGTGAACTGCCTTCGGGGTATATAACTATATATATCGCCAAAGGTTTTATATGCTTATTTCAGTTTTGGTCTTATAGGAAATAGAGCTCACAACACAAGAGCATTTGATAGCAGGCAGCTACTGGTGCATGTACTTGAATATTAAATATGTAGTAGTTGCAGGGCTTCATGTTGAAACATAGCTATAGTAAAGAAAGTGCACTGTGTCGTCCTCTTTGTATAGGAAGCACCACCAGCGTCTCGAATCCGCTCTTGAACGTGAAAAAGTGTTTAATAAAAAACGCCTATTTTAAGACATAGTGTAAACGCGTTATGATTTGAAGATTGGCTCACAGCGACAGAGCTAATCGCATTTCGAGTTTTAAATTGACTGAGTTGAGAACATGCACGGAAATAGTTGTTTATTAATTAAAAGATATGAGAAACTTACCAGATACATAACTGACCAACGAAACCAAAAGTGTTAAGACGGCAATCAGCGTCCTTGAAGTTTTCATATTGAGACAGGATAAAGTTTTTTGCAGCTCGGGCAATTTCCGTGCCTCTCTCAATTGCCTCAAGTCTCAAGTGAAAAGATTCAATGGACTAACAATAAGAAAATTCAGAATCACTTTAATTGAAAGCAACCGCCTATTATGAAATACCTGACACGTTTTTCTTTCAAACAACAGGGGTTAGCCAATGGAATGCCAACGCCATGTAGTTGAGCTTTGAAGATGTATCTTTTTCTTATTTTTTCTTATACTTAAAATCTCTGAACTAAAAGTATCAGTGAAGAATTTTGAGAATAAACTACTACTCTTCGTTTAAACCTATGGCATCTAGAAACGTCTTTGTACATTACATGTGCAAAATGTGAAATGTGGAATCAGATAATGAGGTCAGTTTGACTCCGTGGTTACCTAGACATCGATAAACACATCAAAACAAACCTTATACTATATTGGTCCAATTTTAGATATGGTATACTCTATACATGAACAGTGACTTATTAATTGCCACCAATGTGGGTGCTCCGTATCCACTGAGTCGACGGTTTTAAAATTAACACTGTAGCAGTTATATGCCAAATTACCTGATTATTGCCAATTGCTAATTTTTAAAACATGCGAATTTCGCTAGAAAATTTCGTCAAGCATAGTAATTCCTAAAATATGCCTAATTAAGGAATAAGGAAATAGAATTTGGAATGAAATTCGAGATGCTTCTATACGGTGTTCAATAATGAAACTTGGTTTAACTCATTAGTTTAAGGCGACTCGGCAGGCGATATAGTAATGCGTTGCATCCCGCAGAATTATATGAATCTATTATATAGTATATAGGGATCACTTTTAGACTTCGAAAAACATCACGGAAACCGATCATCGACTAAAAATTGTCTAAAGATCTTTGGTTACCGCGACTAATGTGGTATTCATGCAAATGTAGACTCTTGACGTACTTCATCTGAGTGTCTTGGCTATTTACCAACTCTGAGTTACTATCTTAGGGTAAGAAAGGAACTGCGTGTCATTCCGGTGTCATGCAGAGATACACTGCTTCATCATCAGTGATGCAGGTCAGACTGAATTGCCAGATTAGATACATAGATGATAAAGTCTTTAGAGCTATGAAAGATCTAAAGACTTTACTTAATTAATTAAACCAGCTAACCTGATTATCGCGAGGAAAGTGCATTAGAGAATGAAGAAATTTATCAACAAAGACATTTGTTATATACCAAGTGCCAAAGTTCATGTTTTCTTGCGTCTCATTGGACGAGAGCGCATGACGTGAAAGCACGAAATTCAACTGTCTCCTGGCAACAGCCCTGAGCGGTTGAAATTACTTTTATTTAACGGCGAATAATAAATTTATAAAGCAAAAAATTATGGAAGTTTCCAGTTTCTTTTTGGTATCTTTTGTTTTCTTCGACACTTGGTATATAATAAAATACGGCGATGCCGAGGGAAACATTGGCAGTCGAGGGTCCAGAAATCATACTGTTTCTCCAAAGTCCCAGTCAATTATAAGTGTAAATAGTTATTCGATAACAGAATATATAATACTTGTGTTATATCTCATACGCAGTGTCATACTAAAGGAAAAACACGCTAGGCGAGTATAATGATAATTAAAGTTATATATCAAAGGCTGTCAGTGCAGAAAACACCCGATATGCGAGAAAACACGGGAGGAAAAACGAGGAGAGGGTCGTTGAAACTCCGGTGCTCAGTGTGTCCCATAAAATGCTCGGAAAAGTGTTTGTAAGAACTTCATTTTTGAAATTCCCAACCGCGCATGTAATATTTTGGATGAAAGTATACTGTCCAAGCAATTTATGGAACACACTGAACGTGATGACAGAGCAGGAATATCCTTCACTATACTTACATATAGTTTCATCGAGTTTATAGTAATAGGCCCAGCATTGATACTTATTTGTTAACAATCAATTGTAAAAAAGTAATGAAAGGGATACTTTAAAACTAGGGCAGAATGGCGTATATTTTTGAAAATTGAACATGCATGAGCTAGCAACGATTCGGAGATTCAACCCTTCCTTTCTCCTCGCTTCTTTCCTCGTGTGTTTTTTTCGCATCCGCGTGTTAGTTTTGCATTGACCGCTTTCATCAGCATTAAGGCCCATTTCCACTCAGGGAATTTTTCCGCAGAAAGAAAATTTTGTAGGCCTAAAATGTGATTGGCCGACACAAGTTTTCCGTCGGAAAAAAATATTGAAGTTGAAAATATTCAACTTTTAACAATGATATTTTCGGAAAATTTTCTATCCGTGGAAAATTTCCTTGAGTGGAAATGGGCCTTAAGTGTATGCACATTACTCTCTCTCCTCACGTGTTTCTACACTGAGTGCTTTCGATAATGATGTATTAAGGTTACATCATATGATAGATTCCTGTTTCAGAAAAATTGTCACTGCGTGCTCAATTTTTCTACGTTTTTCAAATTTGGTACATGCAATGATAACTAACTGTAGAAGCTACTGTCTTAACCAAAATTCACCACCTTTTAACCTGTAGTCGCAATGAGACATCTTTTGAAAAATAGCACCTCTTGCGCCACGAGATTTAACGACAGACTGTTTAATTCAGGAGCTCCCAAAATATCATATTTCTCATCTCAAATGTCCAAAGAAGAAAAGTGTGTTCGCATTTTTTGACAGCTATTGTATTTGCTTTGATATAAAGCAGACAACTTGACTTATCTTGCGCGGGTATAAGCGGTTGAAGAGATGCTTCCAAATTGAAAAATAATGCACTAAATGGAAAACGCGAACACACTTTTGTTCCTTTATTATTGGTTAACATTGTGGTCAAGTTTGGGACGAATCGGATAAAACGCTCTGTCGTTAAACTCTTTTTTGTCGAGGAGATTGGGTTATTTTGTTTTCTCTTCAAACGACGATTTAAGATTTGACGAGGTTGCACTTTTTCTGTCATTTTCTCCGCCCCCAATGTTAATTCACTTGTGACCTCGTGCGGTTAACCAATCACAAACAACCAAACTTTAATATTTTTTGGCAAGGTGTTTATCACATTTATCTTATAGAATTCTAGTCTATAGACTACGAAACGCAAACGTAGTAGAAAAGTCACCGAAGTCGACATCGCACATAGCTCGAACTTCGAGAGATTCTGTAAATACTGTATTGTTTCGCAATGATATATGCCTCCGAACAATAACAAACGGCTTATACTTCAGTGAATTTCACACCTTGACATTTGACGCCAGCAAAGTTCAATCATAATTACAAGTTTCGCGCAGAACTATTCAGTGGTCATAGCATTTTCCCCTATATCTCGGTCGCTTTTTAACATATTCTTAAAAAAGTTGCTGGAATTGAGAGATATATCATTACTTAATATGAATATATAAAAAAAAAATTTTGGACAAAATCAGAGTTTCATCATATAATGTAACCTTAAATTGGGATATATAGTCGTGGTCCTTCTAGACTATAATTTTGATCATGAACCTGCATGCATATATAAGATGCTGGTTGTTTCCGGTATTATTTCTCACCCAGGTACATGCATTTAGAGCTTATTAATAGTATAATATGAAAGTGTTTTCTTATGTTGTTTCATTCACATTTGTAGGCCGATAAAAATTATTATAATAGTAATCACTACATGAATATACATGCCATCCTAATAAGGGTATATACATCTGCATATACCCTTATTAGGATAGCATAGTTTAGATATATATGTATTTTCTGTAACTTTTTTTAGAACAATTTTTAACCTAACGACAGGACCCTGGTTGATAACAGTGAATTTTCACTGAATACTAGGCATTCCTGTATAAATATTAATTATTATTATTATTAATGAAGAAAATCGTGTCACGTGGTGTGTTACATGCAGACGTTTTGGGGTAAGATAACAATCTTTTAGAGAATACCCTAGGAGTATATGTTTACAATCAGGTATAGCAACATGACTTGTGGTAACGTTGGCAACACTGTAAACGAGAACCAACGAGGCAACAACAGAATAGCAGAAATAGTTGTCTTCGTCTGAGTGACCGTAGTTCATTAATCAGAACTTTCTATAACGCACCAGAGTGTTTTGTATTATAAATATAGTAGGCACAAAACATAACAATTTAACTATTCTAGTCAATTTTACTAAAATAGTTAAATTGTTATGCTTTGTGTGCTTATTGTCTTGTATTGATATACATAGATTGTTCTTCCTATAGGTAGACGTTTCTCGTTAATATGCACGTTCAATTATAGAACTGTACGTAACGTTAGTTTTAATAATTGATAAACATAAAAAAACATGATCGGCTATAGCCTGAAAGCAAGACGATGCATCTGCAGAAGGATGCTACTGATCTGTTTTAATTTATCGCAACTTAAAACAACGTAAACAAAAACAAGCAGTGTATCACCGTATCATCATTTTTGAGGCGGAGCATATACAGAGATAAAGAAAGCTCTCTGTGTTGCCTCAACGTATAGGCTGAATGCAAGGTTTTGAGCGAGAGTATAATATCTCGTCAGACATGCATACAAAGGTGGTCTTCTTATTGCTCCGGAATTCGTTATATGAGTTTGGAAATGTAGCATTAGTCTATAAAACCAAGAACAAATAAATAATGAGCACAAAAATCGGCGGAAATATGGATAAAAAATATTTGAGGCGTAAGCTAGGCGTAGGAAGCTTGATAATATTTTAAACTTAAATTTGAAAATTTCGAGTTTCTAGATGACTTTCCGAAATGACTAATTTTCCGAGTCTTCTCTACCTCTTTCGTCAGACCCTTTCTCTATACTTGATTCATTACAATTTCTGAATCTATGCATGTTTCCGTGAGTCAAGATGGATTATTTATAATTGCCCGATCACGTATCCGCAATTGATTCCAAACTTATAATGCAACATCCGTGAGAACCATGCAGCTGGATTATTCGTTTTTCTGATGCGGATTTCCTTTGCCCCCCAGTTTCTTGCATGCGATATCAATCACATGGAAATATTTGCATGAATAATATATATTAAATACGATTTCAAATACTTCTTATAGTGAGTTTGGAATTCAAAATACTTTGCTGCAATCTTTTTCTCAATTCAATTATTTTTCGTGGGTCGAAAGCTATCCGCATGCACCCCCCCACCGCGATATAATATTGGGGAAAGGGGGTGTATTAATAGCCACGAATGATTCAAAGACAATCGACGAAATAATATAAAACAAACACCACCACCATA